TGAAAGCTGAGAGCCAGAAATTCAGCTGGTGTAGGACAATCTTTATTTTTTATACATATAGTTAAGGCCTTTTAAAAAAAATCTAGTGCAGGGTTTCAGCATATCAACATTTCTCTTGTTCCCTGAGTTAAAACCCTAGTCCTCAGCTAGCACGGGGTAAGCCAAGTGGATGAAGGAAATAGTAATTTTTTTAAAAAAAAATTTTTTTCTGGTTTTGAACCAGCAACCTATTAGCCACAGTGTTTTTCAAAATATTAATAGGAAAAGAAAGATCTTAGGAGGTCTTAGACAAAAGAAACCATTATACTGTCTTAAGTGTATTCTCCTCTCTGCAAAGAAGTCCTTGAACTTCTAACTTTAGCTTGTAAGGAAGTGATCCAGCTAAAACAGAGGGTATTCATGGTGATCTAGAGGGGGAGGGAGTAGAGAATTGATAGAAGGGAATTCTATTTGTAGCTCAGTGTTAAACTGAGGGAGCCTTTGAGGTCTCTGAGCTTGGGTGTTTTCTTGCAGATGTTTCATTCATTACCTAGTTGGATAATGAAATGTTTGCAAGAAAACAACCAAGCTCAGAGAGCACCAAGGACCCCACAGATAGAGAATTGTTGGAGGGCCCCCTGAAGATGGGCTCTAGCATGAGTCCAAAAGCTCTGAAAAATAAATCTCTGGTCCCGGTGATCGAACCAGATTGGATCCTGCAGCATTATCCTGCGACATGTATGTTTGCCTTCATTCATGAGAATTGTTTCCCTTATATTTGAATACGTGTGAGAGAGACTTGCCACTTTTTCTGAATTTCTGAATTCATACCAAGCAGAAAAGATTTGCCATAACTGGGCTAGAGCAACAGGTGAATAAGCCAACTATTGGCAGTGTTGCCCAACCTGGTTTCAGTAGTTACTGAACTACTGTATAATGCACTTTGCATGGGACTGCCCTTGAAGAATATCCAGAAGCTTCAACTGGTATAAAATTTATTTATTTATTTTATTAATCAAATGTAGCTGCCCATCTTAGAAAAGGTGATTCCAAGCAGTGTACAATAATCAATGCAGCAGAGCAGGAAGGTACCAGTTGTATGTATGATACCATTGTTCTACAAGCTCCATTGGCTTTCAGTATGCTTCTGGGTGCAATTCAAGGTCCTGGATGTCACCATTAAAGCCCTTCATGACTTAGGACTGGGTTACTTACAAGGACTGTCTCTCCCCAGTTGTTTCTACCCATCTATCCAATCTGGCAGGAACAGGATGCTGACAGCTAAGATACTGTGAGCTAAGGAGTGTCAGCTGACAGAGCCCAGCGGAACAGCCTTTTCTGCCATGGCACCCGCCCTTTCATCATTCCCCCTGAGATTAGATTGGGCCCATCCCTATTGGCCTTTCATAAGACCTTGAGAACCTGATTTAGTGCACAAGCTGGATGTGGGTCAGAGCCTGGTTGAATGGATGACAGATTAGATTGCTGCTATGTGTTTTTATTCTTGTTTTACAATGTATCCTGCATTTTTATTTGTGTTCTTGTAAGCCGTCTAGAGTCAAGTAAAAGTGAGATGTGTGGCTAGATAAATAAAATTTACAGTAATACATTTATCTTCTAACCATTATTTCTCCAATCATAGAACCATGTTAGAAGACAACTTAAATCTATAGAAAATATGTGTTCAGATGAAGTGTCATTATCCACGTATCTGCAGGGCCGGATTTAGATGAAAAGAGGCCCTAGGCTATTCCACTTATGAGGCCCTTTCACCTATAGTGAAAGTGTAATTTTAATTTTGCTAACAATTTGAATGTAGGCCCCTCTTGATCTTGAGGCCCTAGGCTGAAGCCTAGTTAGCCTATAGGAAAATCTGGCCCTGCGTATCTGACTTTTGAACTTACAATTCTTTCTGGTTGGTTACTTTGGCAATGATTTTAAATACACAAAAACAATTTTAGAGAGGGAATCTTCTCTTATTTTGGGTACTGAGCTCTGCAGAAGATAACTGAGAAGTTCTATGGTATGGTTACATAGGTTTAATAAATCTAAGAAAAGAACTATATAATAAATGCAAAGCATCTAATTATTTGAATCCTATTTCCTTGTACTTCTTCTAGAGAATGACTGAGGGAATGTAACTTATACATAAAAGGACAACTATCAAAAGATGGAACAGGACAATATATTCCACAGATAATTGATTAAGCCAAAATGTCTCCAGTGCTGCAGCCCACCTGTGTTAGTCCATATAAGCAAAAGTGAGGAGGAATTTGGTAGCATCTCTTCAGACTGAATTGAATTTTCATGAATTGCAGTTCACTTCATCAGATCCACGGAATGAATAAACTGATGTAAGATTTAAACTAGTGTGGGATAGAGTGGGAAGGGAGGAAAAGTTAGGGTGATTATGCAGATTATATGTGGGACATGTTATAAAAACCTTATAAGAATGTAATATGTTAAACATGTATTATATTTTATTGAGATTTTCTAAGATTGCCTGAAAATTTTGGGTGTGTGAGTTCGGCTGTCTCTCATTCAATTGTACTGTTAAAGATGTTTGGGGTTTTTTTTGTTGTAAAATAACTGGAGTTTGTAATGGAGTGTCCTGGAATACTGTGATATTACTTCCTTACTTCTGTCTATGCATTGACATCCCACATACAGTATTTGACATAGAATGCTGGACCAGCTGGGCTATAAATCTGATAATGTAAAATCTTTTTAGATGGGGTATTAAAAAAACAGGTAATCAGTTTAAGACACCTTCAAATATTTGTATATTAAGAAACAAATCTAGTGCTTTTTTACCATTAATCTTATAGTGAAGCAACCTCTCCTTTAAAGAGCTATAGTAGTTACCTCCGATAATAAACATATGTATGTATGTATGCAAGTTTGGGTGTATTCGGGTCTTTTCCCATGTAAGATTGGGAGTATCTTGGCGACGTTTCAACAAGGTCCCACTTGTCATCTTCAGGCTGGTGTCTTTAGCTTCGTGCTTGTGCGAGGAAAGTGTGATTGGAGCTGCCGTCTCTCTATAAATACTGGTGGGGAGGTGTGGGGTGCTGGCTTTGTTGCTGTGAGCGGGTTGGTTGCCTGTGTTGTAACATTTTGATTGGTTGATGGAGTTGATGTCTGCAGATTAGTCAGCTGTTTTGTAACATCCTGTGTGGGTGAGGTCCTTGATGTGTGCCATTAGTCTTTTGTGTTTTAATGACCTGGGTAATGGGCTGTGTGTTAACATCCTGAGTTCTAGTATTGTGATATCCTGAGTTTTTTGATGTAATGTCCTGAGCAGATAGCTGTGATGCCACATCCCAGGCTTTGATTTGGTTCCGAGTTTGAGGTCTTACCATGTGTTCCTGGCATGTGCCAGTTTGCTTTGTGTGGGGATCGGAGGGGCGGTGCAGCAGTTGGTGATGCTGCCGTTATGAAACAGCTGACTAATCTGCAAACATCAACTCCATCAACCAATCAAGATGTTACAATACAGGCTACCTTTTTTCTTTTTTATTTCTACTTTCCCTCTTTTCTCCTTCTTTGTTTTTCTTTTTCTTTCCTTCTCTTTTTCACCTTTTATTTCCATTCCTTTTAAATTGGACTATTTAATAGAGCTGTATCTAAATTGAAATTACGATATGTGGTTAGGAATTGTAAGGTAAATAATTAGACTAAGAGATTAGAATATTTTTTTCTTTTTTTAATGTTTTAATATTGATGTTAAAAGGTGTAATGAAGAGAGCCTGGAAAAGAACCAGAGATAATTGAATTTATAAATGAGCATAATAATGAATTAAATATGTATCTGGAAATTAAATTGGTGGTGATATAATAGAATGGTTCTGATCAAGATATTAGAGTTTATGACTAAAAATGTTTCTATGTTTTGACTTTGAATTTTAAAAGATATAATGGGAAATTGTGAGTGGAGCCTTTTTAAAATGTAAGCAATTGTACCTATTCATGACCGGATCGAAATTTTGCTCTCGAAAGAGATGTATTTTATGTGTTATGTTGAAAAAAAAAAATATTTTGCAAAAAAAAAAAAAGATGTTACAACACAGGCAACCAACCTGCTCACAGCAACAAAGCCAGCACCCCATACCTCCCGACCAGTATTTATAGAGAGACGGCAGCTCCGATCACGCTTTCCTCGCACAAGCATGAAGCCGAAGACACCAGCCTGAAGATGATGAGCAGGACCTCGTCGAAACCTCGTCGCCAAGATACTCTCAATATTACATGGGAAAAGACCCAAATACACCAAAACTTGCATACCTCTACCCGTGAAAACTACGAAAACACACACGTATACATACATATATACATACATACATATACTGTACATATATTTGTCAGGAAGGCTTCTGTAGGAAGGCCCAAACTATTACTGAGTCTGTCTGTAACAGAATCTTGCAAGTTTGACTATACTGTCCTTTCTCCTTCTTACAGTTCAATGAATTTAGGGGGAAGCTGCCTAAGTCACTTTATTACCTAGTTGGATAATTGTTATCTCATTGTTCTGGATTTTTAAAAAATACTTCAGCCTCTTTTACCTAGGTAAAGGTTTCTGTATATCCCTATTAAAGCCAACTTCCTTGCTGTCTATAGCAGGGGTGTCAAACTCGATTTCATTGAGGGCTGCATCAGGATTGTATTGGACCTCAGGGGGAGTGGGCATGGCCAAGGTGGGCATGGCCAGCTCGACATAACTTATGGTAGGGGTGCCTGTGTTGGCCCGAGCACTCCACCAGAGAAAACAGAACTTGGGAGGATTGTGCACGCCCCCCCTGAGCTCCGATTTCACTGGCAGAGGCACCACAGGCCGGTACTTCGCTGTTTCCAGGGCGGCCCCACAGGCCAGATTTAAGCACCCTTGAGTTTGACACCCCTGGTCTATAGTCTTAAAGCATATTTTTCCTTCTATGTGTTGGGAAGTTCATTTTTATTAAGAGAGGACATGAAAAAGATGTATTAAAAGGCTTAATAATAATAGGAAAATAAATAACAGAATGTGGTTTTTCCAATTGCTATAATCTTTATTTCTACAAATTGAGGCAAAATAAACAGTAATTACAGGGAGCGACAAAGAGCTTCACATTTTGCGCTTCTCTTGGGTCACTTTGCCATTTTCAGGTAAGTTTATTCTTCACTTATAACCACCTTCTTATGAACTTCTCGGCTCTTCACCCTGAGTTTGTTCACCTGGGACTCAGCAATGTCAGCCCGTTCCTCAGCTTCTTCCAGCTCATGCTGAATCTTGCGGAACTTGGAAAGGTTCACGTTGGAAAGTTCCTCCTAAAAAATATTATTGAAATTAATTATTATTATTTTCCATTTATTGACAAAATCTGGCAAAAATTTAGAGATTTAGATAGTATGATTTTTTTAAAGAGGAAGGAAATGTAAAGGATTATATTTGTGTCACATCCAATTTTTTTTTTTTTTTCAAATCCACAAGTGAATCTTTTTCTTCTGTTTCTGGCAAAATAGCAGCAGGAAATTGTTCCCTTGCATCCTATTTTTTCCTCATTGGACATGCTTCAGGATGAAAAGTTCATCAAGCTACCAATCCAAAAATGCAAGTTGATATTTTAATTTTTTCCTCAATAATAGACTATTTTAAAGGTAAGGGAAAAATTAAGTATTGGAAAACATAAGAGGATTTAAAAAGATGGAAAATATTTTCCTGCTTAGCTTTATTTTTAGAATACTATTTTATGTGGGAGTTAAATAAAAGTTTAAAAAGTGGTTCTTCAGAATTTAGTAATCTTTGACTAATTATAGTGTTACTTGGATTTTGTTAGCATTAAAGATATACTGGAATTGTAAACTGGATTCTTGCTGCCTATCAGGAAGTAGCTAGTGTATATAAATGCAAGAATTAGAAGACATCCTATGTCCCTTTCAATCTTATAAGTCTATGATTACTTATTTTTCATTTTTTTAATTGCCAAAAAAGAAGCAGCACGTGCATTGAGAACCCTTTCTCACATACACACCAGGATTAAGGAGAAGATGCCAAATTAGGCATTCCATATAATTGGGGATTACTTCCAGTGGCATAATTTAGACACATTTCAGCTTAATGGAGCGTTTTGTAATTTTTTGTTTATGAGTCAAAGGTCCAGTTTGAGGCTGCCACTGCTGAGATACTTGCGTAAGTGTAAAGTGGAATAACATTCAAAACAGGGAAGAAAGGTAATTGTGTCAGTTTAAGAACTGCTGTCCTAGTTGTGAGGAGATGGCAGTATAAACTACCAAATTGCTATCTCAACTGTCAGGAGGCAAGGTCAAGACATTTCAATCTTCAGCCTTTCCCTTACAGCTCAGCTGTATACTCCAGGAACCATGGTAGGAATATACTCCATCCTGATCAGGATTAATATCCTTAGCATTTATCCTTAGCATGTCCATAGAAAAATTAGTACTGAAAATGTGATATAAATAGTATGTATGTATGTTTATATCAGTGGTGGGTTGCTCCTGGTTCAGTCCGGTTCTTGCGAACCGGTAGTAACAGCAGCAGGAGGCCCCACCCACCTGCCCGGATGTCATCATGAACGATCTGCACATGTGCAGAAGTTTCTGCGCAAGCGCAGAAGCACGTGCACACGCTCCCATTGCAATCCAGTAGTGGAGGTGAGTAGAACCCATCCCTGGTTTATATATATATAACATTTCTATAATGTATATGAAATTGATGATTTCTTATAAAAATTAGCTATTTAATAACTTCACAATCACAACAGCTATGGTATTAGTGCAAGCTTCCACATGCAGGTGAGCACCAGGCCTTCCAGGCCTTCACACCCCTTGGGGGCCTCTCACACAACCCTTCTTGCATCAGTCACAATTAGCACTATGTTTTAAGCCTCTCAACTCATTCTGCCATATGCAGGTTAATTTGGTTTGTAATAACCTTTACTCTTTCTCTAGTATTCTCTTTCACAATTCTAGTTCAAGCAACCCCAACTTCAGAAAAATACTTACAGCTTCTTCAGATTGCCTCTTGTATGCTTTCACTTTCAGTTGCAATTTGTCCACCAGATCTTGGAGTCTCAGAACATTCTTCCTGTCTTCCTCAGACTGAACAAAGTAGAAAACACATAAAATTATGTGGAGAGAGAGAGAGAGAGAGAGAGAGAGAGAGAGAGAGAGAGAGAGAGATTCAAAGGTAGATCTTGGATTCTCAGAACATTCTTCCTGTCTTCCTTAGACTGAACAAAGTAGAAAAACACATAAAATTATGAGAAAAGATTAGATAGATAGATAGATAGATAGATAGATAGATAGATAGATAGATAGATAGATAATAGCTAGCTAGATGATAGAGATAGAGAGATGATAGCTAGATAGCTAGATGATAGAGAGATAGAGAGATGATAGATAGATAGATAGATAGATACATAGATGATAGATAGATAGATAGATAGATAGATAGATAGATAGATAGATAGATGATGGAGGGAGGGAGGGAGGGAGAGAGAGAGAAAGAGAGATTCAAAGGTATCAAAAATCTCTTTCCTCACCTGGTAGGTCAGCTCCTTCACTCGTCTCTCATATTTACGAACACCTTTGATGGCATCAGCACTACGCTTCTGCTCATTATCAACCTCAGCTTCCAATTCACGCACCTGAAATACAATAAACATTTAGCCCTTCTATCAGTAAGCTTTATTATATGGTTAGAAATGCATGAAGGTGCATACAAGGGATACATACTCTATGCTCCAATTTTTGGAGCTGCTTCTTGCCACCCTTCAATGCCAGCTGTTCTGCCTCATCAAGACGGTGCTGCAGATCCTTCACACTCTGCTCTAGATTTTTCTTCATCCTCTCCAAGTGGGCACTGGTGTCTTGTTCCTTCTTCAGTTCTTCTGCCATCATGGCTGCCTATTTACAGAGAAATAACTACCATTCAGAAAACCATTCAGACCAATTTTAAAAAAGTTATAAAGGAAAAGTGTTCCAACTCACATCTGTGATGGCTTTCTTGGCCTTCTCTTCTGCATTGCGTGCCTCCTGAATAGATTCCTCCATTTCAGTCTGGATTTGTGAAATATCTGTTTCCAGCTTCTTCTTGGTATTGATCAAGCTGGTATTCTGTTTGGGGGAAGAACAGGCTTTTCGTAAAGCAAGAAGGCTGACTTTGTCATTTGGACTTCTATTCTTTTGTAAAAAATATTGCCGAACGTATTTATAGTTATTAAAAATACACTAGACAAATTATGCTATTATGATGAGACCAGCCTGCTTTATTGTCCCCTCAAGCTACAGAGGAACAAGATGTGGTAGAACAGTGCCTCCACTGATTCTGCTGTGGATAGAACCAACTACACTCAGTCTGACAGAGCTGAGACATCTTATATAAGTATTAAGAACTGGGGCCAAATTTGCTTAATTTTTTGTTTTATCTTCACTAATTATCCTCTTTAGTTGTGCTTTTTAAAATGCAAGTTTTGAAGCGGAGACGCTCTTCTCTCTTTACTACTTTACTGGGTTTTTCAATTAAAGAGCAACATGCAAAAGTTTCAAATAAATAGCAGAGCTCTCATGGGAATCTATATCACATCATTCTTTAAAAAATTGCATCAACCTCTACAAGTTCATATTTATATTTTGCATGTTTGCCTTCTTACATTAATGCAGTCATCAATGTTATGATTGCTCACTTACCTGGGTATGGAGGAGCTGCACACGTTCACTGGCATCCAGAAGTTCCTGTTCAGCCACCTTTCTGGCCCTCTCTGTCTGTTCTAGAGCTGCCCGGAGCTCCTCAATCTCAGCCTGCATTAGGTTTGCTCTGCGCTCAATCATGGCCACTTGTTCCTTCAAATCTTCCTGGCTTCTCAAAGCATCATCCAGATGTATTTGGGTATCCTAAAACAGGATATGGCAACATTTGTCTTGGGAAATGGTTGCAATATAAGGGAAAAAATGCAACTCTTTCTTGAATATCATGCTGGAGGTACTTGATGGAATAAGAGATGATCTCACCTCCACCTGCACCATGCATCCTGCTCCATCCCTCTCCATCTTTAAAATACAATTTACTTTTGTGGTTTTATTGCTTTTGATGTTGTAAGTCACCCAGTATTGCCTGGTGATAAGATGGGCGGCAAACAAAATAAATAAATAAATAAATAAAATATATAAGTACATATGTACCTTGAGCAGTCCTTGTGTGTTCCTGAGGTTCTTTAGTGCTTCAGCAGCTTGACGGTTGGCATGGTTCAGTTGGATCTCCATCTCATTCAGATCTCCCTCCATCTTCTTCTTAAGCCGTAGGGCATCATTCCTGCTCCTAATCTCAGCGTCCAATGTGCTCTGCATGGACTCTACCACCCTCACATGATTCCTCTTCAGCTGATCAATTTCTTCATCCTTCTCTGCAATTCTTCTGTCGATGTCAGCTTTCACCTGGTTGAGCTCAAGTTGGATGCGCAGGAGTTTGCCCTCTTCATGTTCCAGAGAGGCCTTAAAGCATAAAAGATAAATTTATATAGCCATACAATAGGATCTTCCAAAAGTACATGTTCTCTGGAGAAAAATGAATTCAGATGGTTGTTTTTCCATGTTCGTGAACAGAATCAAGATTCATCCAATTAATCGATTTTCAGATATTTTTTTTAAAAAAATGAAATTTAAAAAATGAATTTTTTATTCTTAGCATATGGATGCTTGCTACTAAATACTGTGATAATAGAATGATTGTTGTCTGCTTCTCATGGTGTCTTCAGATTGGGGGGTCACTATGATACATAGAATTTACTGGAGGCCAAGAGCTGCTAAGGCCTTTCATGATCTGATTTAGACTTCCTGCTGGTCAACAAACTATTAGGGTAAATGGGATTTTGCACTGATCTGGTAAGTGCCCACCTATTTTCTTTCAGTCTTTTAAGTAGCCTGTTTAATTAATTAAAATGTTACTTGCTTTTCTACGAATAATGACATGATTACCTCAGCCTCTTCTAAGGAAGCCTGGAGTTCACCCTTCTCCTGTTCAATCTGCTTCTTCACTTTCTCTAGTTCATGGATGGCCTTTCCTCCCTCAGCAATCTGTTCCGTTAGGTCAGATATCTCCTCTATTGGTTTTACACAAGATAAAAAAGAAAAGAAAATATGGACAGCATTGGCAATTTTCATCATTCATCCTTGCTCTTCAGTTTATGGATAAAAATGATTAATATTTGAATTGTTCTGCATTGTTAGATCATTGGCATCAAGCAAAGTTTATATTTGCTTTCTTATAAGAATTTATTATCAAAAAGTTTTATAAGTTAAACAAGACAAAAAAAATTACTCTGCATTTTGCCACATCAACCAGGAACATACATAAGAATAATACATGTGCATGGTTATTCCAGCCTTGGGTTAAAGGATAGTATGAAGATGTTTCAATCATATAGGATATGTTTATTTCAATATTGTGAAACATCAGCTAGCTGCTGTTTCTACTGTCTTTTTTTTACTACTTTAGATAAGAAAAACACTTGGAGGGATTTTCTGCATTGGGTACTAAAATAATAAGACCATCTGTGGTTACTTCAAATGAGGTATATTATTTGCCTCAAACAACAAAAGAACTCAAAGGCAGTTCTGCTTCATCCAATTTCTTTCTTAGCTCTCCCAGTTAATAGATAGTTCTATCCATGACTAAAAGAAAAACAGCTTACGCTGGAGATTCTTGTTCTCGCGCCTCAGAGTTTCCAGGTGATCCAAGGATTCTTCATATGCGTTTTTCATCTTGAAGAGCTCTGTGCTCAGAGACCGAGACTCCTTCTGGGAAGCTTCCAGTTCAGACTGAGTTTCCTCATATTTCTGTTTCCAGTCTGCCAGAATCTGTAAAGGGTCAATGAGTCATCAGTGTCATACAAATTTGATAAAGAAATAAGATAATAAATTTAATTGGCCCAACATCTTGGTGCAAAGTGTTCTTCTTTAATCATCAGGAGCAAAATACCTTATCAAAGTTCTTCTGCTTCTTATCTAGAGCTGCACAAGCTGCATTGGACCTTTCCACGTCAATCATCAGGTCCTCCACTTCATTCAGCAACCTCTGCTTGGTCTTCTCCAGGGAAGCACATTTGGAATTCACAGCTTCTACATGTTCCTCAGCTTCCTGCAGACGCTGAGCAAGCTTTTTCCTGATAGAATATAATTACAGACCATATTAAGGGAGGCCTGGGATCATAATACCTCAACACATTGGTATAAGAGCCTTCTTTCATGTTATCATGTGCAATAATGCCATTTGTGCCCATCACTCTGACGGCAGCACAAACCTTGTAGGACCTCAGCACTTACACATAGACACATTTTATAATCAAATATATATATATATATATAGACAAATTCTCATCATGCCTAGAAGATGTATTTTGATGTTTTAATGTTTGTGTTAATGATGTCACCATTTCTGTTTCACAGAGACATTTGTGCCACACACAAACACATTTTCACTTACTTGGCTTCTTCTAACTCTTCTGTGCGCTGGATAGCATCTGTTTCATATTTGGTCCTCCATTGAGCAACTTCACTATTGGCTTTAGACAATGACCGTTGAAGCTCAGCCTTGGCTTCCTGCTCCTCTTCATACTGCTCCCGGAGCAAATCACAATCATGGCGAGCTGACTGCAAGCCATGTGCCAGGGCATTTTTGGCCTGTGATAAAAAAAAATTAGTAAGAGTAATTTTCAGAATTTTGTTTTTACCTTTCTATGCTTTACCTTTACCTTAATATGTTTGTTATGTCTGTTATTTTTTTTAATCTACTTATGTCTGAAATCTATTTACATTGTCTAGTTTGCTTTATTGCCAAATAAATTTAAAATGTAAAACAAATATATTAAACTCTCTTAGGTCCATTCCATATCTGAACTTACCTAATACCCAATTTACAGAGCAGTTCCTTCTTCATTAATTCTCTTTCATCCATCCATCCATCTATCCATCTATCCATCTATCCATCCATCCATCCATCTATCTATCATCTATCTATCTATCTATCTATCTATCTATCTATCTATCTATCTATCATCTATTTGGCCAGCCAGCTTAAATTGATGATGCTGGATGTCTAACAAGAGTTTAAAATATAAAAACATAACTATAGAAATAATGCACACATTATTCACAATTATACTGCAGTACCAAATAATGCATAAGATCTATGCAATGCATAGACAAATTTCACACCTTCACTTCTTCCTCAAGCTGCCTCTTCAGTTCCTCAATCTGCTGTGTGAAGGCTTGTTTGCCTCTTGTGAGTTGAGAAATCAATGAATCTTTTTCCTCTACTTGGCGGGACAGTTCACCTAAATAAAAGACATTTTATTTATTTTATTTTATTTATTTATTTTGTCAATCATATATAAGATAACAGGTAAAAGTATAAACATAATTTGGATACATAAAAAGAGTAAGTAAAAAGGGATATTAGGACAGGGACGGTAGGCAGGCTGGTGCTCTTATGCACGCCCCTTACAGACCTCTTAGGAATGAGGTGAGGTCAACAGTAGACAGGCTAAGGTTAAAGTTTTGGGGGTTTGGGGAAGAAACCACAGAGTCAGGTAGTGCATTCCAGGCATTGACCTCTCTGTTACTGAAGTCATATTTTCTGCAATCAAGTTTGGAGCAGTTTACCTTGAGTTTGTATCTATTATTTGCTCGTGTATTGTTGTGGTTGAAACTGAATATATAATCAAATTAACTATTTGATTATAGTTAGTTTTATAATGGTCACAAAGAGCAAGAATAACTAATACGTCTTCTTGAAATTAGTAGGATTTATTTTCAACTTCAAACAGGGGTAGAAACAAAAGGGGAATTGTTTGGTGTGGTGATTAAAGACACTAGGCTAGAAATTGGACAACTGTGAGTTGTAGTCCTGCCTTAGGCATGAACCCATCTGGGTGATTCTTGGCCACACTCTTAAGTCCTAGAAAGAGGGTGAGACTCTAGTGAAAAACGTGGACAAGAAAATTGCACAAATTTCTCTAGGCAGAAGGAAGGAAGGAAGGAAGGAAGGAAGGAAGGAAGGAAGGAAGGAAGGAAGGAAGGCAGGCAGGCAGGCAGGCAGGCAGGCAGGCAGGAAGGAAGGAAGGAAGGAAGGAAGGAAGGAAGGATTCAAGTATTATAAATGAACTAATGTTTATAATGGCAAAATATTACAGAATAACACAATTTGTTCCTTTGTGTTACCTGTTTCTGTCTGCAAACGTGCTCTTTGAGCACTGAGGTCATTAATTGTGCGTACATGTTCTTCCTCCTTTGTTTTAAGCTCGCTGAGCTGGTCTTCTAATGTACGGCTTATCTTCTCAAGATTTGCCTAAATGTAAAATGTCCAAAAAAAAAAAAAGTGGCCTTTCATATATTGAGCACACAGTTCCAAGCAGAGACTTTTAATGGTTCTTTAAAAATAAAATGTTTATCTGTATAAAATAGGCAGCCCCCAATGTCTTTTGTCTTCCTCAGATGCTAGCTGAATTACACTAGAATCAAAAAGGACATTTCAGACAGGGGAGGATGGAGGAAATGTATTTATCTTATAAATCACAAATAGTTCTTTCTGTTTTAGAATATATCTAGATAACATTTTGTCCTTTAGAGTTTTAACAATAACAATTCTGATACTATACAAAGGATATAGTACCAGAATTTGCTTCAGAAGGCCAGTAAATTACAAAGCAGTTTTTAAAAAATCAAGTGCCAAACTCTTACAACCAATAGAGAGCGAGAGTTGTCTTCAGAGTATATAACTGAAGTGGCATGCTCCCATATCTTATATTTAGCCCATCATATATTTCAATCAGAAATCATGTCTCTCTTGCACAGTTTGTAAATTTTATACACATGGCTCAAAAATTATGCAAATGAACATATCATCTGTTGTAACACACATTTTATAAATAAAAATCATATGTAAAAGGTTTGTGGGTATCTTTTAAAATTATTTTAGAATCTGGAAATTCAATATAAATATTAATTGCTTACTTATGGCACCATATTTTTATACATTCAAATGCTTACATATGCATAAGAATTACTGAAAACTGCTTTGTCCACATTTTTAAATAAATCAAATGATTTGAAGTAGATCCTGACTGTGCCTAACAGAACCATTGCCTATACTGTACTTCTATAGAATACCTTAGCTTTAGAGACAGATTCCATATTGCTTGCAAGATCATCGATCTCCATCTTCAGTTCACTCTTCTCCTTCTCCAGCTTCTGCTTCACTCGCTGCAGGTTATCAATTTGTTCCCCAAGTTCAGCTGCACTATCTGCATGCTTCTTGCGGAGGGCAGCAGCGGTGGCTTCATGCTGCAAGGTGGCCTCTTCAAGGTCCCGGCGCATTTTCTGAAATTCTGCCTCACGTTTCTTGTTCATCTCAATCTGAGCTACAGTTGCTCCACCAGCTTCCTCCAGACGCTCGCTGATCTCCTCAAGTTCCCTGGAGAGATCACCCCGCTGTTTCTCTGCTTTGGCGCGAGATGCCCGTTCTGCCTCAATCTCCTCTTCCAATTCCTCAATACGAGCCTAGAGAAAGAGAGGCAACCATGAACCCTGAAACCGGCTTCCAGATAGCATAATTCACCATTCATGAAGGAACTACTCTATGACAGACCTGCAGCTCCTTGATCTTCTTCTGAAGCTGGGAGCCCAGGACCTGCTCATCTTCAATCCTGCTCTGGAGTTGGCTGGTTTCAAAGTCTTTCCTTATCACAACAAAATATAATAGTTAGCCACCAAATCAAAAAACTCCATTTAGCACAAAAGTCCCTCATAATAGACATTAATACTTACTTCTTCAGCTTTTCATCCAGCTGCTGCTTATCATTTTCCAAATCCATTGTGGATTCCTGAGCTAGCTTTAAATCCCCTTCTAGCTTCCTCTTAGCTCTTTCAAGGTCCATGCGAAGTTTCTTTTCTTGCTCCAGAGACCCTTCAAGCTGAAGACAAAGAGATCAGAGTAATGGTGCCATCACAGCAGTACCTCCACCTCAATCCAATTCTTCTCTGGAGATGATAGCATGCTTACATCATCCACTTGCTGTTCCAGCTTGGTTTTTGCTTTGGTCAGAGTGTTCACTTTGTCTTCCTCTGCCTGCAGATCATCCAAGGTCTGTTGATGGGCCTCTTGCAGGGCTTTCTTCTCCTTGGTCAGTTTGGCAATGGTCTCGTCCAAGACCGCCATCTCTTCAGTAAGGTTTTTCACCTTTAAACGTTGAACAGACAGAGTTATAGTAATCTATGTATTCTGAAGTGACAATAGTGGATAGTAATTTAATTTTGGTATATTTTTGACCAGTACCTTATTTTCTGTAGCATGCTTCTCCTTTTCAACCTTGGCCAGTGTCAGCTCAAGATCATCAATGTCTTTCTTCAGTTCTGAGCATTCGTCCTCCAGTTTCCTCTTCTTGGCTGTCAATTCAGCATTCATTTCTTCTTCATCTTCAGCTCGCTCAGTGAGCTCCTTAATTTTAGCTTCCAGTTGGATTTTGCTTTTGATTAGCTGGTCACATCTCTCCTCAGCATCTGCCAAGCCATCAGCTTCCTATGAAAGGAAAGTAGAGATTATTTTAAAAAACAGTTTCCTAATTACAATATTAACATATATAAAATTCCTATTCTAATGGAAAATCTTTTTACTAAGAAAAATGCACAGGGATCAACTCTCTTTATATAAATTGGAACAATAATCAAAGGTAAATTGTTCTTGTATGTTGAGCAAGTCAAATATATTCACTATTTATTGATTTATGATGCTGCCCAACTGTAACTCTTTAATGAATATTGGTAGATAGTTAAATATGAAAACAAGAATAGTTTACCTATTACAATACAGTTCTTATATATATTTATATGTTAAGTCATTTAATTCTTAATTATAGATTATTATAATTATAACAGTATTACAGACATAGAGTAAGTAAATATGATTTTGAGAGTATGTAGCAATATGAGGAAATCTCTTAATAATCCCAACCAAAAACTGCAGTGAACTTTCATCTGCGAGCTTCAATTTACTGCTTGCTAAACTGTACTAGATCATTTAATCAAACAATAATATTTAATATCTAACAGGCTTACAGCTTGGACTTGAAGTTGCAAGTCATTTTTCTCCTGCATCAGGGACACCATTTTTTCTTCTAGTTCCTTCACTTTGGCCTCTGCCTTGGCAAGATTCTCCTTTGTTTTCTCAAATTCTTCCTTCATGTTGGCCATTTCCTTCTCTGACTCTGCACTCTTCAGCAGGGGCTTGATCTTGAAGTACAATTTCATCCAAGGCCAGTGCTTCACATTCATGAATGAACGAATACTGTACTGAATAGTGAAGATGGATTCTCTGGAAGGAAAGCAAAATAAAACTGATAAGTTTAGAAGAAATTTGGAATACACATATATAATACAAAATCATTTATAAAATTTTCACTAACATAAGTTAAAGAATATAATATGTAAGAAATATAGATTAATGCCACTTCACAAAGCTTTTCAAATCCATTTTTAAAAAAAGGTTTATACAGATAAATGTGAAATAAATATATTTTTAAATGCATAATTTCTGCCATGTTGTGCAATGAACTTTCCTGAGAACCTGAGATTTTTCATGGCTACTTACATCATTCATACATGACTTCTCAAATCTACTACTGCTAAATGTTGCTAAATGTTCTATACTATATATTATAGTCTGTTGTGCATTTTACAGTCGTTTTCCAACCATCAGTATAGTCCAGAGGTGGGTTCTACTTACCTTTACTACCGGTTCGCAGCGGGGCCGCGCGCATGCGCAGAAGCATTCTGGGCAGTGGGTGGAGCCTCCTGCCGGTTTTACTACCGGTTCTATAGAACCGGTGCGAACTGGGGGCAACCCACCACTGGTATGGTCCATGGTTCACAAGTTGTCTGTTTGGGTATTGAATGTGATCCTTATATGTGTCTCTTTGTGTATGTCTCATTTTATTTGTAATAGCCAAACTGTACCTTCTTTGCATCATTTTCTGGAACTCAGACCTTGCTAAGAACCCACGACACATAGCTTGGGTACGTGTAATTAATTGTGCCAGCTTATCATCTCTCATCTCCTCTAGAAGACCCAGAAGCCCAGCTTTGAAGAACACCTGGGGGTGGAAGAGAAAGTATAATAAATACTGTATATAATTGTCCCCATAAACAATGTTGCATTCAAACAGTCGAATTGTCATCTTACCTTGGTGTGGCCAAATTTATACTGGGTATGGTCAACATCAATTGATCCAAGAAGTTTTTCAGAAGCCTTCTTGCTATCTATGAATTGTCCCTCTGGGATGGCACTTGCATTCAGAATTTTGTATCTATTAAAGAAAGCAGAAGCTAAAGTTTCCTAACACTGGAAGCCATGATATTAAGAAGACGTGTAGGGATGAAACTCATTTTGGTAAACATCCAAAGAAACATTTATCAACATTTGGACTACCTCCCCCTCTCTGCCCTCTACACAAACATACAGCCCGAATCCATAATATCTATGGGGAAGACCAAAACTTATATACAACATTGAAGCACATACAAAAGAGCATGACTTTTGCATTTTGACACATTTTTCATTTCTTGCCAATTTTGCACACATACACGCCCAGCCCCTCAGGTGACATTGTTAATAACCTAAGAGCTCTGAATAATGGTATCTATTACTAGGAAAGTTTAGATCATACTCAAAAACTCTACTAAGCATTGTGCTTTCAGTTCTGATGATGGCAGAACTGTTTACTGTTTCTTCCTGGGTTTTCAGTTTAGAGGACTTGAATTTTGTCTTTAGTGAAGGGAAAGTAGTGTGCACCTGTTTGCTGTTTAATAACAGTCTTTCCAATCAGCATGAGAACAACTTCTCATACCTACCAGTACCAGCTATGGCTACTTCCTTAAAGCAAAGAGATTGGCCAATGTGGCTGAGTTTTCTAAAGGTTTATCAGTGTCAACTTATCATCATGCTTCTAAACGCTTTTGTTAGCACAAAGTAATTCACACTGTATAGATATGTCGAATCATTCAAGTCTGTACAAATAAACTAAATCTCCTGAACCAAATGTGTAATTCTTCTTATCCCCAATTCTATTTTGTATAATGAAGAGATATGAATGGAAGTAATAAGATTTTGTTATTTTCTCCCTTAAATTCTTAATATAAATTATATGATTTTATTTAATAAATAATATGCAGTACTCCTGACAGCAATATTTGTCAAATATTGCGGACCTGGCAGGTATTACAGAGACCTGGCTGGGCCAAGAGGGGGGGGTCCCCCTCGTAGAGATATGCCCACCAGGTTTCTGCGCATTCCATCAGCCAAGGGCCCAGGGCAGGGATGGGGGGGTGGCGGTCGTTATAAAGAAGGTCTTGATCCGAGGGAGGCCACTGTACCTCAGATAGCCGGATGTGAGTCTCTCCTGGTGAAGTGGGGCCATGGGATGCGGGTGGGCCTGCTGATCGTGTACCTGGCTCCCTGCCACGTGACAGCAGCCCTGCCCGAGCTTCTCAACGTTATTGCTGGGGTGGCGGTTGATACCCCCAGACTTTTGGTCATGGGGGATTTCAACCTGCCGTCTACCGGTGAGGCGTCTGGGATGGCTCGGGAGTTTATGGCTTCCATGACAGCCATGGACCTGACACAATTAATTCATGGCCCCACTCATGTGGGAGGACACACTCTGGACTTGGTTTTTATCTCTGGTCAGTGGCTGAGTGGTCTGGATATAGGAGATATAGTTATTGAACCCCTGTCATGGTCGGACCATTCTCTCCTGAGACTGGACCTTTTGACCGCTGCACCCCACTGCAGGGAGGTGGAGCCGACCAGGTGGTTCTGCCCCAAGCGCCTGATGGATCCTGATAGGTTCCAGAGGGAGCTTGGGCCAGTTCCTGAAACTCTGGCTCACGACTCGGCTGAAGATCTGGTGGCTGCCTGGGATAGGACGGCTGCCGGTGCTCTGGACCGAGTCGTGCCTTTGCGGCCTCTGACCCGACGCCGAACCTGCCCGGCCCCTTGGTTTTCCGAGGAGCTGAGGGAGATGAAGCGCCAGAAAAGACGCCTAGAGAGTGGTTGGAGGGCTAGTTGCTCCGAATCCAACCGAACACTAGTTAGGTCTCATATTAAGACCTATCTAGTGGCGATAAACGCGGCAAAGCGTAACCACTTTTCCGCTCTTATTGCATCGGCAGATAACCGCCCAGCCGCCTTGTTTAGGGTGACTCGCTCCCTCCTACATCAGGGAGCGCGGGAAGACCCCTTGCAAGGGCAGGCTGAGGATTTTGCACAGTATCTGCATGATAAAATTGCTCAGATTTGGGAAGGCTTGGACTCTGACTCGGTAGATCCTGGCGGGGTGACTGAGGCTGGTCTTGAGAATGTTACCTGGGATGAGTTCGACCCTGTGACTCCTGAGGACGTGGACAGGATCCTGGGGAGGTTAAACGCAACCACATGTTTATTGGACCCGTGCCCCTCCTGGCTGGTACTGGCCACCCGGGAGGTAACACGAGGCTGGCTCCAGAGGATTATAAATGCTTCTCTGCGAGTGGGTTTCTTGCCTCCCGCCTTGAAAGAGGCAGTGGTGAGGCCCTTCCTCAAGAAGCCTTCTCTGGACCTGGCCGTTTTGGCAAACTACCGTCTGGTCTCCAACCTTCGCTTTGTTGCGAAGGTTGTGGAGAGTGTGGTTGCGCGACAGCTCCCACAGTTCCTGGATGAAACCATCTATCTAGATCCGTGCCAGTCCAGCTTCAGGCCTGGGTACAGCATGGAGATGGCATTGGTCGCATTGGTGGATGATCTCTGGAGGGCTTGGGACAGGGGTTGTTACTCTGTTCTGGTCCTGTTAGACCTCTCAGCGGCTTTTGATACCATCGACCATGGTATCATGCTGCGCCGGCTGGAGGGATTGGGGGTGGGAGGCACCGTGCTGCGGTGGTTCTCCTCCTATCTCTCTGACTGGTCGCAGTCTGTGTTGGCAGGGGGGCAGAGGTCGACCTCAAGGCGCCTTGCTTGCGGGGTGCCGCAAGGGTCGGTCCTCTTGCCGCTCCTGTTCAACATTTATGTGAAGCCGCTGGGTGAGATCATCCGTGGTTTTGGGGTGCGATGCCATCTGTACGCTGATGACACTCAGCTGTACATTTCCACCCCAGACCACCCCAATGATGCCCTCGAAGTGATGTCCCAGTGTCTGGAGGCCGTGCAGGTCTGGATGGGGAGGAACAGGCTTCGGCTCAACCCTTCCAAGACTGAATGGCTGTGGATGCCGGTGTCCCGGTATAGCCAGCTGGTGCCATCGCTGGCTATTGGGGGCGAGTCACTGACCCCCACAGAGGGAGCTCGCAACTTGGGCGTCCTCCTGGACACACGGCTGTCTTTAGAAGAGCATATGACGGCCGTGGCCAGGGGGGCTTTTTATCAGGTTCGCCTGATACGCCAGTTGCGCCCCTTTCTGGATCGGGACTCCTTGTGCACAGTCACTCATGCCTTGGTTATGTCATAACTACTGCAACGCTCTCTACATTGGGCTCCCCCTGAGGAGCACCCGGAGGCTCCAGCTGGTGCAGAATGCGGCCGCACGGGTGATTATGGGAGCGACGTGGCGCTCCCACGTAACACCTCTCCTGCGCGAGCTGCATTGGCTCCCAGTGGTCTTCTGGGTGCGCTTTAAGGTGTTGGTTCTCATCTTTAAAGCGCTCCATGGCTTAGGGCCAGGGTATTTGTGAGACCGCCTGCTGCTACCGATAACCTCCCACCGGCCAACACACTCTCACAGAGAGGGCCTCCTCGGAGTGCCGTCGGTCAGGCAATGTCAGCTGGCGGCCCCCAGGGGGCGAGCCTTCTCTGTGGGGGCACCCGCCCTGTGGAATGAGCTGCCTCCTGGAATACGATTGATCCCGGACCTCCGGACCTTCCGTAAAGCCCTGAAGACGTTTTTATTTCATCAAGCCGGCCTAGCCTAAATGGTTTTTAATTGGGATTTTAAATTTTATGGATTTGGGGTTTTAAATTGGGTAGCCAATGATTTAATTCTTTTTAATTATCTTAACTTTTGCATTTGTATGTTTTTTAATTTTGGCTGTTCACCGCCCTGAGTCCCTTCTGGGAGAAGGGCGGTATACAAATTAATTAATAATAAAATAATAATAATAATTATTATTATTATTTATTAGATTTCTATATACTAAGGACTTGAATCACATACAATAATTTAAAAATAGAATAAAATCAAATTAAATAATTTGGCCCCGACAATTTCCCAAACTTAAACCTTTAAAATTGAATACTGAATCTTTTATGGAGGAAATTAGGCCAGGCCTGGTGAAATAGTAAGGTCTTTACGCGGCGGAAGGTGCGCAGATCGGGATCCTCGTATCTCTAGCTCGTTCCAGATAGTAGGTAGATAATAATAATAATAATAAAAAATAGTTTGCCATTGCCTTTTTAGAAATGAGAATTATTGCCCAAATTCACCCAACTGGCTTCCATGTCCAAGGTAGGATCAGAAAACCTAGGTCTCTCTGCTCCCCACTAGACCATACTTACATTCAACTATTCAAGTTACTAAAATGTAAATTGCTGTAAGATGGAGACATTAAAAACAGCTAGAATCCAAACAAGTCAGTAGCTGGAAATCAATCTGACCTCTGTTTGAAATCAGCATAAATAATCCTGCTGGGGAAGCCTTTCCTGCAAATTCGGATACCTTCAAGTACACCATTACATCTCAGTTGGTGCAATACAAGCTCATGTTCCATGGCACCTTAGAAAAACCACAGGGGGAAAAAAAGATGTTACAATGTGTACAAAAGGTCAATTACATTTTTCATTTTAAAACCAAACACAGTCCTGTACCTTACCAGGAGTTTTAGTTTCATTGGGGATGAGGCAGCGCACAAAATGTGGATGAGTGCTCCTCAGATTGGACATCAGCTTGTTTAAGTTTTCCTGTAGGATTTAAAAACAAAATTATTTTTTTAAAAAAAGCAAATTTATATGTTAGGAAAAAAACTTAAGAGTGAGAGCTCCACGTTTTGTCCTAGGTAGCCAGGAAAAAAAAAATACTGTGAACTTTCCCAACATTCTCACAAACAACCTTTTAACACTTTTGCCTTATTCTGTATCAGTTGACATTTATATTGATATATTGGTTAACTTTTTTAGAACAGTGCATCTTTTTTACCTTCTTTACCAGATATTTTATTTAAATGCTCTTGTGATTAAGAAATATTTAACAACTCAGGACTTTAAAAAAAAAAAAAAACCAGTAGAATTGTGTACTGTGTTCAGTCTCTACAATCTTGACTGTGATGTATTCTCTTTAATAGCAATAGCACTTAGACTTATATGCCACTTCATAGTGCTTTACAGCCCTCTCTAAGTGGTTTACAGAGTCAGCATTTTGGCCCCAACAATCTGGGTCCTCATTTTACCCACCTCAGAAGGATGGAAGGCTGAGTCAACTTTGAACCAGTGAGAATCAAACTACTGGCAATCAGCAGTCAGAAAAATTACCCTGCAGTACTGCATTCTAACCACTGTGCCACCTCGGCTCATTGTAAGGACCATTGGTAGACTTCTGTTGTTCCAGAATACTGTCATCTAATATTCAATTGTTCTTATCTTGCTTTTCCTCCTCTGAGGGGGCTAAATATGTCTATTGCTCTATCAGCCTATGGATATTGAAAGCTGCTTTATGTGAAGTTAATCTATATAGCCAAGTCAACTGGCAATAGCTTTGCAGTTGGACTCTTGTCCTTTGTTCAACTGTGCTGGACTCTTCTCCTCTCTTCTCCCTTGGAAAACCACTGCTAATCAAGAATCAGACAATGGCTCTCCCGTCTTCAATTCTGCAACTGCCAAAAACTGTATTTTTTTGTGTGGCAGTAAAGCATGTATTCTATCACAGAGGTACATCTTTCCTCATATTCTACCCCTCCCCACAGATATCCTCAGTTTATACAGAGAGGCACATCATTCCTGCACGAGTGTCCTCAAAGGAATAAAGGATAAGAACATCTGATTTCCATCCCCTGAAAAGGGCAGACACAGTCTGGAAGGAAGAGCCCTTCTTCTTGGCAGCCTTCTTGCCCTCTGGGAAAAAAAAGAAAAGGTGGGGGAACCACAATTAGACAGTTATCTGGGGCTTAATAATTTATTCTACAGCACAAGTATCTAACAATAGGTATTAGGCAGTGGTGGGTGGATATCGGTTCGCACCAGATCGTGAGAACCGGTAACAGCGGCAGTGGCAGGAAGCTCTGCCCACCCACCGGACGAGTGCATGTGCACCCACGAGCAAATCGGTAGCGACGGGTTTTGAAACCTGCCCCTGGTATTAGGTGTATCACATTGTTTTGTTACAGTTTGTTAAACAAGATATATCAATCTTATATGTATGTGATTATAGTTATAAGAACTGCAGTTGGTGAGGCAAGAATTAAAGGCAGACAACACTGTTAGGTAAACTCTGATCAAATGCCAGCCTTAAAGGTGGGAAATAGAACAACTAAACTTTCATTGATTTGGAAAATATAGGAGGGAAAGGCTTTGTATTTGAAATATTCCTGTCATAGGCTTATCTTCTATGTAGCTGCGACTTCTTTTATAACTATAGCATGAGCTGCTTATGTACTCGCGCTACATCCAAATACGTGGGCATGTTTCTGAAGAAAGATTTATTGTAGGGACTGATGTGAAGTCTGTCACTAAACCATACTGTGTGAGTTCACATTATGCTAATCCAGAACACTGAAGCATAGCATGGCTTAGCATGTTTGAACCAGATCAGCTCATATATTTATTTGTATTTCTTTGGAAATTATACATTTGGAGTTTTTGTGGGAGAAAATTAAAAGAGCAAATATAGTGTAGTGGTTAAGTCCTGGACTAAAAAGATTTCAGCATGACACACAATGTTTTTGGTCAGTGTGGGTCACTTGGCTAGTCTTGGTCTGTCATCCCAATCAATCTCATAAGGTTGTCATGAGGATAAAGCTCTCAGAGAAAAGGTGAAACGTAAGTACTTTAGCTAATGTTAATGTTGGGGTTATTTATAGAACATGGGGCAAGGATGTGCCAAGGATCTTTAGGAGAAGCTAAAAACTATAAAACATTACATATATATGCAATGTTACTTATTAAGCAAGTATTAGGAAATATCTAGTTTAAACCATGTTAAGGCAGGCTGTACCTTTAGGGGCTGATGGGCACATTTGAAATATTGAGAATGTGGACATTTGCAAAATGACTGTTAAGGGTTTACCCATTCACAAAATGGTTGCCACTGGGGACATCATCATTTACAAAACAGCCGTTTATTTTAATGGTGTCTTCAGGACACTCTGGACATCAAGTGCTACCAAGGAGCCTTGGTAGCACAGTGGTCTAAGCACCCTGTTATTAACACAGCGGCCTGCAATTACTGCTGGTTCGAATCTCTCCAAGGCTCAAGGTTGACTCAGCCTTCCATCCTTTCTAAGGTAGGTAAATTGAGGACCCAGTTTGTGGGGCAATAAGCTGACTTTGTATAAATATACAAAAGTATGAGGCTATTGCTTAACACATTGTAAGCCGCCTGAGTCTCCGGAGAAGGGCAGCATATAAATCAAATTTAAAAATAAAGTGCAAGTTATGTGATATTTCCATTTTTAGGTTTACAGATATGAGCTCCTATGCTGAGGGTTCCCTAACCTGTATAAACAAATATCATCTGAGGATAGCAGTGAACTATTCCTTACATGGGCAGTTGTTTTGACTCTAAATGTTTATGAATCTATTTCAAGTGTTAAGAATTACCTTCTACTGGACGGTCGGCAAACAGTAAAGCCAAGGTCTTCATGGAAGACTTCTGATATAGACCCACCACAGTTTCATTCAGGGGGTCCTTGTTCTTGTCCAGCCAGCCGCTAATGTTGTAATCAACAGTGCCAGCATAGTGCACAAGGGAGAAATGAGCTTCAGCTTTGCCTTTGGCAGGCTTGGGTTTCTGGAAGTTGTTGCTCTTGCCAAGGTGCTGGTCATAGAGCTTGTTCTTGAAAGATGTGTCTGTTGCCTTGGGGAACATGCACTCTTCCTCCAAGATGGAGAAAATGCCCATGGGCTGTAAAACAATGGGTGAAAGACAGTTGGCCATGGACATGGACTAAGTTATTATATACGTACTTCAAATAATGTCATTGTTAGTAATTTTCAACCAAAAACAATGGTTTTCTTGTGATAATCTATGAAGAAATATGATTAACAGCACAACAAGCATTCAAAAATATATTTGAGTAGGGAAGCATTGTTATAAATATAGCTGCACCATAAAATATATACCTTTATAGCTATAACCAGGGGTACAGCTCACTTATTCCAAGACAGTTAATGGTCATTAGTTGAAATTACTGCAAAATTAAATATAACTTTTGATCAAAACCTTCTCAATGAGTTCAATGCAGGCAGCCAAGTCCATCCCAAAGTCAATGAACTCCCATTCAATTCCTTCTTTCTTGTACTCTTCTTGCTCGAGGACAAACATGTGATGGTTGAAAAACTGTTGCAGTTTCTCATTGGTGAAGTTGATGCAGAGCTGCTCCAGGCTGTTGTACTTCGGAGAGGAAAAAAAGGAGAATTTGTTTTAAAAACACACAATCCATTCTTAATTTTGGTGTCCAAATATTTAATTGTAAAGTATTTTTCATCTGTTTGTCTATGTAATATCAGTATTATGCTGAGTTACCCAAAAAAATCTTCTAAGGTTCTGCATTAAGCCCATAACTATTATCTTGAAGGATAATTATAGATACTATAAACAGAATGATACTAATTTTTGATTAAATAAAATTGCTATATGTTTATTTTCTCTTTTGCGTATGGGTGGAACTGCTGATTAAATTACTTTCTTTCTTGGTCATGAGTTTGCTAATGCATTGCAGAGCTTCCCCAAACTGGCTAGCTGTTCAATTCTGAATATATGTGTAATCAATTATATGTCTGTGCATATTGACACATTTTTTTTCGAAGTCTGCTGCAATGTTCTTTAAGTTAAAAATTGCAAATAAAAAAAAACCTAAGTCTATGTTATGAACTAAGAAAAACATTTCAGAACAAAGATAGTAGAACAAAACTGAGATAGGAAGACTGGATAACAAAAACCATCTGCTTGGTCCCAAGGTTTCATTTCCTTACATCAAAGATCTCAAAGCCGGCAATGTCCAGCACACCGATGAAATATTGTCTGGGTTGTTTGGTATCCAATTGTTGGTTGATACGAATGACCATCCACAAGAACATCTTCTCAAAGACAGCTTTAGCCAGAGCACCTACGTTATTGTAGACCTAGAAGAACAAATTGGTGACATATGCAACATGGAACATCCACATAAAGGGTGTAATTAATATTTTAGCTTTCCCTTTGATTTGAGAAAGACTTACCTGCTGGACAGTTTGGCCTTTGGTGACATATTCATTGCCGACCTTGACCCGGGGATAGCACAGAGCTTTCAACAGATCTGCTGAGTTGAGATTCATGAGGTAGGCAGCCTTGTCAGCAACTGAGCACAGTCAAGAAAGGAAGAGAAGATCAGTATGTATTAGAAAAACTATAATTTCCAACTCTTCTAGAAGACCAAAACAGATTCTAATTTTGACAAATAGGCCATCCAGATTTTTTTTACCAACTTCTAAGTTTGTAAGCATTTTGAATTATTGATTTGGTTAACAATTGAATTATTGTATTATTTTTTTTGGGGGGGGGACCCTAAAGCAGATGTGTACAAATTCAGTCAGCTTTGTATGGAGTGGAGATGATCTCACTCCCAAAGTTTGCAGGAGGTATATCTAGCAAATGGCAAAATAGCAATTTAAAATACATTTTCATTTTCCTATATATTTGCTTCTAAAGCTAAACTTTTAAAAAGCACAGTGTCTTTGTCTAGTAAGGAAAATACTTATAGTAAACTGCAACATCCTAGCAGTTCTGTAAATGATATGTTGTACTGCATCCTCCATATCATATTCTGGGTCTTAGCATGTCATGTTTGTCATTCCGTAGCCAAATACCTTCAGTGCCGTCTGGCTCAGCCTGCTCCTCTCGCTGCTTCTGCTTGAATTTCATATTCCCATAGTGCATAACAGCTCCAGTCAGCTTGTAAATGGCTGTCTTTTCCTCAGCAGTGAAGCCCAGGATGTCAATGGCACTCTGACAATGAAATCTATAGTCAAAATACTGCCTGATATGCTAGATGGAAGCACAATGCTCAAGCCTATTTGGAGTTTGAAAACTTAATATATTCTAGTAACGCGTGACTTGTGATTATTATTATTATTTTCACTGGCCTTGAAATACTGCATCAAGATAGAAGATCCTTCTGGAAAATCCTTTAGGTTCCCATGATTTCTAACATGCCTACACGGCTTCATCAATGTTTTTGAGCAGCACTAAACTATGATGACTCATTATAAAAAGAGAAAAAACTGAAAGGGAGAATATCAAAACCCTTTTTTGTAGCAGTGACAGCAATAAATTTGGTTTAAAAGAAAGATGGAAGAAGTGAATTTCCTTCCACTATTGCTATTCCCTGAAGCATTCTGACTGAAACACCAGAGTTTCTTTCTACTGGGAGATTTAAAAATATTTTCACTCCTAACATAATTAGGCCAAAAAATGATATACCAAAAATGGATATGTAATCAAGTTAATATTTCATGTCCTTAATTTTGCAAATTACTTACATCAGTTGCCATCAACTCTTCTTGATCATCAATGCTGGCAACAGTGATCTCACCCTGGCTGACAAATTGGAAGTCATATGGGTTGGTAGAAATCAGAAGCATCTCTGCATAAAAAGAAGCACAAATGTGATTTCATTTTCAAGCATCAGCACATTTTTAATGTTGAATAGTGGAAATAGTCCTCCAAATGGATGATTCTCCTTACCAATCAGTTCTGGCTTCTTGTTGGACATGATCTGATAAAAGATATGGTAGCTCCTTTCAGCCTTGAGCTGGAAGGTAACTCTGGACTTCTCCAGCAGATCTGGCAAAGCAATGAAGTTGAATTAGTTATGGAAGGAAGGAAGGAGGAAGAAAGGAAGGAAGGAAGGAAGGAAGGAAGGAAGGAAGGAAGGAAGGAAGGAAGGAAGGAAGGAAGGGTCAAATAAACACCAAAGAAATATCCCTTACATGTCTCAATGTCTGCAGAAGCCAGCTTGCCAGTGGCACCAAAATGGATTCTGATGAATTTGCCCTTTAAAGAAGAGAAGGCATAATATTAAAAATTTTGGGAGACATAATTTTACTCTGTTTTAGAGATTAACTTGCAAAGAGAGGCTGCATTCAGTTTTTCACACACAAAAGTATTTGGTCTTATTTTGCACAGGACTTACAAAGCGTGAAGAGTTGTCATTTCTCACAGTCTTGGCATTTCCAAAAGCCTCCAACAAAGGATTGGCACTGATGATTTGATCTTCAAGGGTGCCCTTCAGTGAAAATATCATGATTAATTTCAATTTGTTTCATCACAGAAAATTTCTAGGCATTCACTTTTCATCTTTTACAAAAAAAAAAAAACCACGCACATGTATTTTGCCTTGTTGGGATTGTTGTTCTTCCTTTTTCTTGTCAGAAGAAACTGCAATTGTTGCAAAGTACTGGATGACACGTTTCGTGTTCACAGTTTTTCCAGCACCAGATTCTCCGCTGTGGATTCAAAGAAGACTTCCATTAATGTGTCAGAAATCATTTCATTGAGATTCCAACTCCAGATCACTAAGAAGTAGGGACGAGGGATAGCCGCATCTGCCCTCAGGCCTGGAAAAGCAGAAAGGCCTTCTAAGCCTGACTGAACTATAGGAAATTGCAGGTTTCATTCCACCTAATCTGCCTACCAACAAAATTTATATTAACTCTGGCTCCACAAGACACAGTAAAAATTCAAAGTTTAAACCCGCCTGCCATGGATATGAGTTATTTCTCCTCTGAAAATCTCTCATCTGACCCATGCTGCAGTTTTGTTGGTATTGTTTTTCAAATCTAATTGCACCATAAAGTGGGGAGGCCAATTGGAAGAATCTCAATTTCAAATCTTATTGTTGTGCATATAAGTGTGAATAAAAGACTTATATGACAGTGTGTGCAAACTTCTGTTGTTCTACCCGCTACTGGCCTTCTAGCTAAAATAATTTTTCCATCCTTGTTCTAAATACTTCTCTGCTATACTAGTTTAACTACAATGATCTCCACTGCAATTTAGTGCAGAATCCTAATAGGGGCTGCCAAATGTTGTTGAGGAATCATTATTGTTACAATATTCAAACTGACCAGTGATACACAGTAGTCCTGCAGTTTCTTTTAGAACAATTAGGGCTAATTGTCCTAATTTTATTTCAGAGAAATCAACAGAACAAAAGTGGACCAGTTAAGAAGGCATACTTACGTGATCAAAATGGATTGATTCTCACGATCTGAAAAGATTTTTTAAAAAGTTACTTGTGACTTTTACAATTATATGGTATGTTGCAAAAATATCCCACCCTTACATCATTCTGAATATAAATGAGCAGAAGAACATCCTCTAAATTTTTGAACTCCCTTATCCCAACACACATACATACGTGTTTAGGGATGTGTGTGTGTATGTATGTATATATATATATACATACATATGGCTAGAAAGAATATGCACATAAAAGCCTACGAAAAAGAAAAAAGATACATTGTACCTTTACAGGAAGGATATCTGAGAAGTGGGTGTGGCTCACTGACGACGCCTTAAAAGGCAGAAATAGCTATCTGAGTCTCCCAGAGAGCAACACAGAGTTGCAGATTGTCAGCAGAAAAAAGGCCCAGAAACTTGTGAATGAGATTTCACAGAACCTAGGGCTGTAGAAACAACTAAGTTTACGTAGGTAAAACCTGGCTAGAAAGAATATGCACATAAAAGCCTACGAAAAAGATATATATCTTTTATATATATGCATGTATGTATGTATGTATTGAGGCACCTGGTCTACCCCAATATGTGGGAGGGAGCATACTGCTTCCCTTTTGCCTTTCAGATCCAATCCAGGAGCCCTCAAGCAGTTGCATTCATGACAAACCATTTTATATTAAATTTATATTTCACTCATAAAGAAATTTATATTTCTTTATCAGTGAAATATAATATATGTGTGTGTGTGTGTGTGTGTGTGTGTGTGTGTGTTTCTGGGTTTTTCGCGGGTGTTTGTATGTAGGTCTTCAGGTTTTCTCCCGCGTAAAATTGGAAGTGTCCTGGCAATATTTCGACGAAGTCTCATTTGTCATCTTCAGGCTGGTGTTTTTGGCTTTGTGCTTCTAGGAGCACTTCCAATTTTACGCACGTACGTAAAAAGTAGGAAAAACCCTGGCTAGAACAGTAATGCACATATAGACCTACGAAAAAAGAACAAAATAAATATTTGACCGTTACAGGGAGGAGTCAAAAAATGAGGATGTGGCTAACTAATGAAGGCAAATAAGCCAGAAATGAATCTATTTTCGTCTCCCTTAAGTCTTACAACAGACAGCATAATGTTGCTTAAATGTCTGATAAAGCCTAGAAAATAGTGATTTGGGATGTCACTTAACTATGGCTATATAAACATCTTGATTTATGTAGGAGAAACCCTGGCTAGAACAGTAATGCACATATAGACCTATGAAAAAAGAACAATATATGTGTGTGTGTGTGTGTGTGTGTGTGTATACAATGACGTGGGAAAACACCAGAGATTTTAATTTTTTGCATATGCACACCCGCGAAAACTTAAGAAGACAAATTATATACATATATATATATATATATATATATATATATATATATATATATATATATACACACACACACACACACACACACACATATATACCCGTGAAAACTTACATATATATATATATATATATATATATATATATATATATATATATATATATATATATATATATATATATATATATATATATAAGTTTTCACGGGTATATATGTGTGTACAGTTAATATTTCGGGTTTCTTCCCGTGTAATTGTGAACATGTCCCTAAAAGGATAGAAGCGACGTTTCGACAGAATCTCATCTGCCAACACAAAAACTCAATACAAAAGCAAGAACACACATCATCATTAGTTCAACACATATACAACAGGACATAATATTAATTTTAATAACACAAAAACAGTTGCAAAAATAGAACAGTTCAATGGCAGAATAATCAGAGAGGCCATTGAAATAGAGAAAAGACCACATTGCATGAATAAACGTGATGACACTTCACGTCTTCCTACTATTTGGAAACCTGCTCTCATAGATAGATGAATCTTAACACAAAATATAAAACATAGATTAAGTGTTAATCAAAAAGCCTGTATGACCACAAGTTCCAGCCAAATCACATTCCAGCCAGCCACAAAGATGAAGCCCTGCCACCTGATGGAGAAAAACCGACCATACACCAGAAACCAAGCCAATAAACACAAACTGAGACTCCCAACCAATCAGAATGAAAAGGTGGAGCCATCCCAGACTACCAGACCAAATTTGAAATAGTAACGGCAGTTACAGCAAAAGACCCTCCACATAAGCCTGATGATGGCAGATGAGATAGGGATATGTTCACAATTACACGGGAAGAAACCCGAAATATTAACTATACACACACACACACACACACACGTATGTATGTATGTGTGTGTGTGTGTGTGTGTGTGTGTGTGTGTATATATATATATATATATATATATATATATATATATACACACACAACACATATATATATATATATACACACACACACACACACACACAATATATATATATATATATATATATATATACTATACATACATATATATATATATATATACATATATACATATATATATATATACATATATTATATACATATATATATATATATATATATATATATATATATATATATATATATATATGCATTACTGTTTTAGCAGCAGACAACATAATGCTGCTTAAATGTCTGATAAAGCCTAGAAAATAGTGATTTGGGATGTCACTTAACTATGGTTATACAAACATCTTGATTTACGTAGAAAAACCCTGGCTAAAATAGTAATGCACATATAGACCTACGAAAAAATGAACTATATATATATATATATGTATGTATGTATGTATGTAGTTTTCATCTACTTTTCTTTCACCAGTGACTATATGTTGCAGAACAATGTAATTGTTTTAAGACACCTTGACCATTAGAACTAATTCAGGATTTCACTATCATTTAAAGGAGAAAGATTTAAGGAGGCATGTCTTTATTTATTTTTTCTACTTAAAAGATTTTGAAAGAAGCTGTGCAGAGGGTCTCAGAACTCAACCTCTTTTACTCCATCAGCAGGAGAACTGAGGCAGGAGAGACCAACAGCAGAAACATCATCTTTGAAAAAAAGGTCAGATCAGGCTGTAGCCATGGAGAAAAAAAATCCTTCAAAACTTCCTTCAGTGAATCTGTACGGGCGAGCCATTGGGCAACAGCTCAACAACTTGCTGACTTCTTTCCCTTTCCAAAACTCAGAGCAGAGCTATTCTTAAATCACATTCTAATTACATCTAATCACTGTTCTTGAGGGGAATTATTAAAAAACCCAAATGTATGAAGCATTTGCCATTCAGTATATGGCCTGCATGTATTGCTCCTTGTATAAAGATGCATCATGTAACATTTTCATAGTCTATGTTCCAGTCTGTATTTAGATGCCTTATCAAAATCATTCTGTTTCTTCGAATGTGGCAATATTATGTTTTATTGCCTATAGGTAGTCCTCAATTTATGAACACTTGCTTAATGACCTTTCAAAGCAGTGGTGGGTTGCCCCCGGTTTGGACCGGTTTGCAAGAACTGGTAGTAAAACCAGTGGGAGGCTCTGCCCACTGACCCAGATGTCATTAAAGTAGATCTTCTGCACATGCGCAGAAGAACGCGCGCGCAGGCACAATGCGAATCGGTAGTAAAGGAAGGTGAACGCACCCCTGATTCAAAGTTACAATGGACACCCCCCCCCCAAAGATACTTACAATCCAGTTCCAAACTTCCAACAGCCGCCCCTCCCCTCCTGTGGTCACCTGATTGCATTTCAGGAGCTTGGCAACAGGTCCTCATTTATGGCCTTTTGCAGCATCCCACAGTCATGTGACCGCAATTTACATCATTTTTACTGAAAAAAGCATTTATTTCCAATTTTCAGCAGAAATGCCCCATAGCAAACAGCGGATTTGCTTAACAGCCATGGCGTTCCCTTTATGATCAAGATGTTTGCTTAATGACTCTGTATTTGCTTAATGATTGTTGCAAAAATGGTTGTAAAAGCAGACCTGGTCATATATGATTTATTTTATGACCATCATGACTTAACAACCGTAATAGGCATTATAGTTGATTTGATTGCTCTATTTGCTATTTGTTTTTTGTCTGTAGTATTTATTTTGTCATTTTTGTGGAATTTTTTGTCATTGATCATAATAAATATTTATTTATTTTAGAAAATTTATATTGCCACCTACTCGCACATGGCGACTCAAAGTTTTTATGAATATAAAAACATCATATAAAAATAATAAAATAAAATGATAAAATAATAAAAAATAATATTTATACACCCCACCCCCATCCCAGTGACAATAAATATTTATACACACCATTTAATGGGCTCCATCTCACTCTGGGTTCCCCAGGCCCACTGGCAGAACCATGTCTTCCGGAAGAGTTTTAGAGTGGGGGCCAATCTAATCTCTGGAGGAATGATGTTCCAGAGAGAAGGAGCCACCACAGAGAAGGCCCTTTTTCTGAGTCCCACAAGATGTATCTCCCTAGAGGATGGGATCCGCATCATTCCTTGCCTTCCCACTCTAGTGGGTCGGGTAGATTTGACCAGAAAGAGATGGTCTCTCAGATAACCTGGTCCCAAGCCATGAAGGGTTTTAAAGGTGACCACCAAGTCCCTTGAATTGCACCTGGAAGCAAATTGGCAACCAATGCAGTTCCTGGAGGAGAGGTGAAACATGCACATCGAGGGCTTCACAAAACCATGCAAGCCACTGCATTTTGCACCAACTGAAGCTTCTGGATGCTCTTCAGGGGGAGCATCTATTCTTAAGAGTCTGAAAGGAATTCCAAAAGCCATGTCCTTCCTGTTTTCCCTACCTTATTATTTTTTCTCCCAGAAACATTCATCTACTCACCAGTTAACATGGACTGATATGCATTGTCAGAGATGGAGAAGATGTGGGGAGGGGCTTCTTGACGCTTTTTGCCTCTGTAAGCTGACACCACTTCTGGGTTGTACACTGGCAACCACTTGTAGGGATTGACAGTGACACAGAAGAGACCTGAGTAGGTCTGCAAAAGTACAACACAAAATATCACCATCTATTTGCTTGTTATATTTGTTATTTTCCTTAAATCCTAAGGAACTGAATTATACATAAAATAATTATATGGAAGGGAAAAAGAGTTGGAAAGGAAAATAAATAAATAAATAATAATAAATGATAAATTTTACTGTGTAGCATGAAAGGAGCAGTATCATATGTTCTATACTTTCTAAAGGTTCAGTTTTTTTAAAAAAAAAATGGGCACACAGCACGTTCTGTTGTGCAGAAACTGCTATTATCAGTCTATAAGAAGTGCAGAGGTTATGCCCAGAGGCCTCCCACATTATTTATGTGCATAATATAGCCCACCTTTTGTCTATATGAATGTTAATTTTGTGCAGAAATACAGTATGTGATCACCAAACTGATTTATAGATTATTTGGACAATGCAAATTTGTAGTCTGAGTGGTATTTCAAGAGGCTTTTTGTTGGCTGATGCTAAGAAAAATTGGACACTGTTCTTTATGAACTTTGTTTGGATCAGTTCATCCTTCTCTTAATATATGATAGTTATTCTAAACATGTTCATTTCTAGACACCATGTAAAAACATGAAGTAATCAGTTGACTCTATTATCATTAAAATCTCTATTGGGTATTTGTTCAGATTTTTCATGATCCTTGCTGGCTTTAAGAGATAGCACATGCATTATTTGAGTCCACAGTATTGCACTAGCAGAAAGCAGCAAACAAAAACCATGGCTTCACTCACGTAGATCATCCAGGCTGCATAACGCTCTTTGAGGTTATACAGGACAGCAGGTTCATTGAGGTGGGTCATCATGGCCATGTCCTCAATTTTGTCATATTTGGGAGGGTTCATAGGAAAGACTTGGTCATCCTTTACAGTCACACTCTAGGAAAGAAAAGGCATCGATAAGTTGACCTGATCTAATAAAGGCTAACTTTTGACAATAAGTTTCTTGTCCTTTACTCACTTCTCCTTTTTCAGTCTTGACTGTGACTTTCCCTCCTTCTCTACTTTGTACAACGCCTTTCACATAGGCTTCCTTAGGATTCACACAATAAACGGAGGTCTTGGCGTCAAAGGGCTTGTTCTGGGATTCAATTCTCTCCTTTTCTGACTTCCGGAGATAAGAGGCAGCTTCCCCGAAAACTGCCATTTCAGCGTCTGACGACATGGCTGCAGTTTACAGGGCACACCGCAACAGAGAAAACTACACAGAGGAAAGATGGTCTATCAGGTTATAGGTACAAGACAAGCTTTTCTAAAAGGCTAAATTATTAGTTTTTGTCCCTATTGCAACTTTCTGCCTTGTGGACTTAGCAACCTTATGTAGCATATTAATAAGGTATTAATTAATAAGGTATTAATTAATCAATAAGGTATTAATTAACAATGTACTTATTAAGTACCTTATGCCAGCAGGCTTGAAATTTTGGACCTGGACAACCTAGAACTATACTGCCTACGGTCTGACCTAAGCTTAGTACACAAAATTGTCTGCTACAATGTCCTACCTGTCAATAACTACTTCAGCTTCAACTGCAATAATACACGGGCACACAATAGATACAAACTCAAAGTAAATCGCTCCAAACTCGATTGCAGAAAATACGACTTCAGCAACAGAGTGGTCAACGCCTGGAATGCTCTACCTGACTCTGTTGTTACATCCTCAAACCCCCAAAACTTTAACCTTAAACTGTCTACCATGGACCTCACTCTATTCCTAAGAGGTCTGTAAGGGGGCATGCATAAGCACACCAGCGTGCCTACCATCCCTCTCCTACTATTCCCATTTATTCGTACTCATTTATTATGTATATACTTATACCTGTTTATACTTATATGTTTATATGTCATGTTCATACTTATATTTGTTTTCTCATACATGCTTGACAAACTAAATAAATAAAATAAATAAATAACTGCTTATGATTACAAGACCCTTCTAGATTGCCTTCCTTTGATGGAAACAACATTTCCTGCTAGAAGAAACCTGTGCTTTCTTTTCTGGAAGAATAGAAATTGACCAAAAAGTATAAGATGTGCCACTTCAGGTCCATTAGAAACTTGTAGATGTTAGTAAATCAGCAGGTGGTCTAAGTCCTTCTACCATCATTATTATTATCTTCAACTTTTTACTCAAGGTATCCAAAAGAAAAAAATTTAAAAAATATAAACTATGGATGAATAGACAAAAGGAGAAGAGTAGGAGCTCAGACTAGATATATAGAGAGGGGGGAAGGGAAAAAGGGGGGGGGGGGGGGGCAGAGAAAAAAAAAGGGGGGAGGAGAGAAAGCTATCTATCCTCTGAAAGAAAAATAATTCAGCATACAGCAGAACTGTGTCCTATTTCCCTACTGTAATCTGTAATCGATTACTTTGATTAAGTATAGGTAATAAAGCAGGACTCTGCTGAGAACTCAGCACATAAAATAAAAGAATGAAGCAGAAAAGGAAGTTGAGTATATATGTGTGTGAAAAAATGTGATTTATGTACACGGAACAACTATAAAATATGATCATAACATATAAAATATTTAATTACTTTTTTTATAATGTATATTATAATTATTATATATTTCAACAAGGGATGAGTATTCTAACGAAGGAACTGTGAATTTAATCAGCAACAGAAACTACTCCTATCTCCTGCCTCCAGGCTGTTTTTCTTTAGAAGTAGGCATATGCCATTATATTTTTACTCTACTGTTTTGAAAAAGAGAAGTTTGTGAGCATTTGGTGTCTATGAAATTAAATACTGTCCACTTTATCCTTGGCATTAGAAATATTCCAGTCTCTTATCAGAAATTTGAAAGGGACAGTACAGAAGCCTGCTTTGTGATGCATCCTGCTGTGTCTGAAAGTAAAGCATCTTCCAAAAAATTGTAACTAGGAAACCATAATCTTCATGGCCAACAAAATGAAACATCTCCATTAGGGGGTCACAGAGATCCAGCCCAAGTGCCTTGCTGATTTAAGTTCTGAAATAAAATCCAGTGTTCAATTGGTTTTTAAGTATCGTAATTTTACATTTAATTTTTTTTAAAAAAAAAAAAATTCTGAATGGATTTGGGGATCCATTTATATTTACTGCTTACATTTTTTTTTTTTACTTTTAAAATGTTTTGCTTACATTCTTTTCATTCTTCCTAGGCTCTTGTAGTGAGATGGGCGGCAAACAATTTTAATAAATGAAAATAAATAAATAAATAAAATCTCTATTTTTAAATTATTTGTTTATCTTTACTGCGTGTTAGATGTTACACGTTGATCATATTTTCAAATGCAGTTTTATCTATATTACGGGGATCATAATATTATCTACATTAGGAGCATTGTAATGCTATCTATATTATGGGAACTAGCACTGTTATGCCTTACCTCACCTTCTGCAAGAAGTTACAGGCAGCCTTGAGGCTGACCAGAACTACGCAAACAATTTAGGGGGAAAAATGATGATGATGATGATGATTCTCTTTGTAATCCAAGATTTCCAAAGTTCCAAGAATATGTTGATATAAAGAATGGAAATGTACAGACATATTCAAGAATAGTTTTGAATGTCCCCAGAGAAGTTAGTTCCAGAGGTGGCAAGATGGCCCTGGGATGTGTAGAATCCCAGGCCTACCTGTGATTCTTCCCTCCAACTCCAAGTTCATTCTTCACATGACTTACCTTGAAGCTGTAGGCAAAGCTCAGGCAGATCAAAGATAAGGCAGGTCCCAGAAACTCTTTTATAATATCCGCTCAGCCCTAGCACCTCCTCTGCTGCAGGTCAAATATTTCTGGCCAAGTATTGTTTTGGCAAAGTTGACTGCAAACATAATTCTTACTCATATTATCCCTGGATATATTTAGAGTTGAGCCACTGCATTCCTGCAAGTGCCTGTATCATTTCTAAATATATTTGATGGAAGTCATTAACTTATAACATTTTCAATAAAAGCATCTTAACCTAAAAGTGCTACTGACCACCCCTCACTGAGAAATCAGTTTTTAAAAAGTGATTTAAATGACTTTTGGTCACATTTAAATAGCTTCAATAACATTTAAGTGACTTTTTTTTTTTTCCTGAAGCCATTTTCATTGATACCTTTGCAGAAAGGAAAAGATAACTGGCTTCTGTGCTACTGCCAGAGGAACACAGATACTATAATTGTAAAATATTTTCTTCCAATCTGATTGTGGTATGTCCAAAAACCTACTGTGCAATAAATTATTTTTGCTGGAATAGGAAAACCTGTCTACTATTTTCAGACAACATCTGATAAATAGTCATGATGACGAGTAAGGAATAGGAGACTTGGGGCTCTTGGCATGCCTTCTATGATTACCAAGACAGTATTCACACACCCTTTGGACCATGCTTAGAATTTGAGTTATAAGGAGCATGTGTTCTGTAAGAGCGTGCAAGAGAAGAGGCTGGCAATAGCAAGCCAAAGGTTATTGAGAAAGAGATATGATGATGATGGAAAAATAAAAGAGTATAAGGAGCTTGAGGCTCTCGTACGCTGCAAGAAGGAGTCGATGTGGTTTGCCAAGTCCTGAGTGGCAAACTCAAACTTCCCTTTAATGTGTCCTTTCTTGGGTGCAATTTTGGGAAGCTCCGCATCAGGTTAATTTGCTTCATTGTTCTCCTTCCAGGATCTATGCCATTCCTTTTCTATGTTCTCCCCGCCTTTACCTAGACATTGCTTGTTCATTCTCCCTCAGTGTTGCAATGTTACTGTAGGAATGAGGCAGTGGTGGGATTCAAATAATTTAACAACCGGTTCTCTGCCCTAATGATTTCTTCCAACAACCAGTTCACCAAACTGCTGAGAAAGTTAACAACTGGTTCTCCCGAAGTGGTGCGAACTGGCTGAATCCCACCACTGGAATGGGGGCTGCTTGCAATATTCCTTCCTTTCCATTTGTTTAGGTGATGGAATGTAGTAAGGCGGCGGATTCCCAGGAGGGAGGGGGCACATTCCAGAGGAATAAAAGGCAACTTGGTCCAAATGTTATATGTTAAAGAAAGAGGGTGAAGACAGACCCTCCCTAGTAATTCCTGGAGTATGGTAGAATATATGGTAGATGTGGATTTTTAGAGTGCTCAGTTTGGCAAGATTTTGTCTACAGCTGTGAAATAATAAAATAACTCCACTTGGAAAAATCTCCATGTGTTGTTTTTGGTTTGGAGCCTGGACGTGTAGTGGGTTATTGTTTAACCCACTATTGATTCTCTAAGAGATGTGTTGGCCATCAAATGCAAGAATTTCATCTTCCTCTTCCTTGATCCTTAGCACAACTGAATATAAAGTTATACATTATTTAGCACTGATCTGCTTCACAAGCAGAAGAAATGATTGGTTAGAGCTTTAGAGCACTTTTTCATTTTCTGGTTAATTGGTTATTGTTCATTCCTCAGAAATTAAAAACTCATAGAATTTTGTCAAAATTCTATGTGCAACTAATTGCACATTTTTCAAGCCTACATGCAGTTAATGTCAGTTTCATTTGTGCTTAGCTAATTTTTATTCAAATTTTAGGGGCTTATTTAAAGATTAAGTACTAGATAACAATGCCAAAGATTCAGGCTAAAGTAATATCACTTACTTACAGCAGAGATCTCCAAACTTGGCAACTTTGAGATTTGTGGACTTTAATTCCCAGAATTCCCCAGCCAGCATGACTGACTGAAGAATTTTGGGAGTTGAAGTCCACAAGTCTTAAAGTTACCAAGTTTGGAGACTTCTGATTTACAGAATTACAGATGGTGTAAGACTGACACCAAAATTGCACTTCCCCAAACTGATTCCATATATGAGTTCACAATTGTGTATTTTTCTGCCCTCTTTTGTGTGAGTTGAATATTTTAGTAGTACAGTCCAATATACAAATTGTTTTCCCAACTGCTAAAATGTCTTTTCTTATTAGAACTATATATAGTTTTGTAACAGCAGGCAGCATGCTCTACCTTCTGTTCGGATGTCTATTAAACCCCTATTCAAATTTCAGTTCTCCAAGATCTAATCATTAGTCTGGAAAAAAACCAATACTATTTGTATAACAAAGCTTAGTTTATTCACTTATAATATTCCCCATAATGAATATGAAATTTATTCTTATTCCCTATGTTATTTTCATTTTAATTCCTAATCAGTCTCTGTGTTATTTCCATGCTATGTATATTTAATAGTACTTTTATCATTTAGCTGATTCCTTTAAAACAGATGTATGACTATGTACCAGAATAGTACCTAAAACCAAAACTATTTGGTTAGGGATATATGATGGCTGTACACTGTATATGAAGAAGAAATATATTACATTTTCTATAGTGCAAAAACAAAAGGAAAAATGAAAACTTAGATTACCTGGATACTTCATACAATTCTAAGAAATATGGCTGAGTAAATGAAAATCTTATATGGAAGCATCCTTACTTCTTTTATTGGATTTAATGGGTAAAATAAAAAATATGTTCTGTTTATGCCTATTTAAACTAACTATATTTTACCCATTTCATTAAACTAATAATATTTTACCCATTATATTTTAAAAAATATAAACTGCCTTTCCATTAAAATCTGGGAACCTCATATTGCAAAATTGAAAGTTAATAGGCCAAGGCTACCCTAAATCAGAGGTGGGTTTCAGCAGGTTCTGATCAGTTCTGGAGAACCGGTAGCAGAAATTTTGAGTAGTTCAGAGAATCGGTAATAAAAATTCTGACTGTCCCCCACCCCATCTATTCTCTGCCTCCCAAGTCCCAGCTGATCAGGAGGAAATGGGGATTTTGCAGTATCCTTCCCCTGGATTGGGGAGGGAATGGAGATTTTACAGTATCCTTCCCCTGCCACGTCCACCAAGCCACACCCATCAAGCCATGCCATGCCCACCAAACCACACCTACAGAACTGGTAGTAAGAAAATTTGAAACCCACCACTGCCCTAAATCAAGTTCAGTTTTTAATAACTACATCAATGCTTCCATGTAGTTTTCTTGATAACAAGGTAGCAGTGATTTGCCACTGCTACTTCTATAGTTTTCCTTTTTTTTAACCTCCTGGTCTACCTTTTTGGTACTCTGTGCTCCAAATAAGCTCCCATCCTTTGCAGCTTTTCTGAGGTCAGCTAAAGTCTCTATATTCTGCAACCCATTTAATTCTACTACCAATGGAATTCTATTACCAAGGGAAATCCAATTTTATGGAAATTTTTATAATTCTTATGGAAATTACATTATGGGCATTATATAGATAATATATTTCTGTATAGAAATAATAATTAGATATTAATAAAACTCATTTAAATATGCACATCCGACCAGATAGAAAAATAGAAGTGCATAAATCATCTGCAGTTTCTAGCATTAAGTAGAATGAAAGAAAAGCCACAACTGTTTTTAATATGCAAAGTTCTCTACCATCTTTATTTTCTAGATATTAAGGAAAGATAAACAGTAATTACAGGGAGTGACAAAGAGCTTCACATTTTGCGCTTCTCTTGGGTCACTTTGCCATTTCCAGGTGAGTTTATTCTTCACTTATAACCACCTTCTTATGGACTTCTCGGCTCTTCACCCTGAGTTTGTTCACCTGGGACTCAGCAATGTCAGCCCGTTCCTCAGCTTCTTCCAGCTCATGCTGAATCTTGCGGAACTTGGAAAGGTTCGTGTTGGATTGTTCCTCCTAGCAAAGCATACCATTATTCAAATTTAATTCCCAGTAATAGTTAAAAAAAAAAAACCACACCAACATAATAATTCTTATGAATGCTTCTGAAGAATCTTTTTAAGGGCCTAAAATTAATCTGAAATCTCAAACTATACGAAGTTTACTTCTATACAAACTATACCTGTACGAAGAATCTCATGAGATTAAAAAAATGAACATTAATTCCATGAGGGTCTTCATTCATCCAAAGTGCATAAGAATAGGCTGACACTTTACAAGCTCGCATATAAACACAATTTTATATTCACAAGCAATATAAAATGTGACCTTTTCAAAACTAACCTTCATTATTTTATGTGCCACACATAGTGCATTTTAATTGTGCAGGGAGAGATTTTGGACTAGGTCATCCTGTGTACTTACCGACTCTTCAGCTTGTCTCTTGTATGCTTTCACTTTAAGCTGTAGTTTATCTACCAGATCCTGGAGCCTCAAAACATTCTTCCGGTCTTCTTCAGACTATTTTTTTTTTTAAAGGAAATAAAGAATGGAAAGAGTAAATATGCAAATTATTTACACCTTTATTTATTTTTTCTAAAAATGTTTGAAATAAATGACAGCTTCCATTCTCACCTGATAAGTTAGTTCCTTTACCCTTCTCTCATATTTCCGTACACCTTTGATAGCCTCTGCACTGCGTTTCTGCTCATTCTCAAACTCAGACTCCAGTTCACGAACCTGATATTAAAAAGAAAATTAAAACATGTAATTCTAGCAGTAGAGATGCCCACTAAATTATGAAAATGCATGTGGAAACTTGTCTATAAGGATTAATTACACATAAGTATATAAACGAATGCTTCCCTTTCTAATTAACTTTGCCCAACTTTGTTTTATATGATTTGCTCCATTCCTCTTTTCATTACTTTCTTGGCAGCATCCATCACAGCATTCAAAGAGTGTGGCACGTGGGAAAGTTTTTTGGCTTTTAAGAGAGTTTCCATATTTAGAGATCTTAGTTTACCTAAAATAATGTGTGCAGGTTTAGGATAAACTGGGCCTTGGTTGCATTTGTGCATTCTTTGCAAAAATATTTTGAAACTGAATGGCATTTTAACATCACAGGCAATGCTGCATGTGTCATGGGTACAAATGAGGCAGATAACCCTGTTTTATATTATGAAAACATGTTATAGAAAAGCCTTAAGTGTGTACAGCCATGGTGGATGGTATCAATCAATATTGATGTTCCATCTAGTGACACCATGGTATATTGACAAATGCAGTTTAGAAGGTAGAAGGTATAAATGGTGAAAAGCATGAATTTACAAAGGGAAGAAAGAAAAATAGACACTAATAGAAAGGAGAAGGATATGAATAAAGTGGAGTGCAGTTGATGAATGCAAGTTCCTTGGGCAAGAAGATAAGGGAACTGGGAGCACAAGTAGCTTTTTCATCAATAGTTCTGGTTGAGCATTCTGGTACAAGAAGAAAAAGTGGGGTCTTGGAAATCAAACACAATCTACATCTATGGTGTTATTAAGAAGGCTTTGAACTATGTGACAATGGCCAATTCCTGGGAAGAGACTCTTGTAAGAATAGATCTTATCTTGTAGGAATAGATATTATAAGATTATATCTTACAAAATATGGGAGAAACTCTTTGCCTTCTCTGTCTTATCACGAGTGTGTTAAACTGTAATAAAATGAAGGGGGTGGCAAATGCCCAGACTCAAAAAGGCAGCCAAGAACTGAGCCAAGAAAGTAGAGATACAGAGTGTCCCAAGAAATAGCACCAGAAAGCTAGAGGGTGTCATGCCAAATGTCAGAGGTTTCTATTCCAACAGACAGAATATTGAAAATAAACAGGGCAGTATCCTAAGTAAGAAAAATATGATACTGTAGTATTAAAACAATAGGATAGTAGTTCTAATTAGGATATAGCTCTGAAACACTACAGGTATTTCAAAGGAAAAAAAACTCAGCAGAAAGGGTGGAAGCATTGCACTGTGTATAAAGAAACATATATATTTCTACATAAATTCAGGAATTAGGATTGATTTCCAAAGGAAAACAATTTGGACCCATTGGTCTGAAATCCTGAAGGAGAGAAGTGTCCAGAAGGTACAATCACAATAATCTACATAAGAAAGAAAAAAAAATAGCATGGATCTAACATAGATAACATACAAAGAATTATAACACGGTGAAAATACAGAAACCTCACATTTGCTCATACTGATGAGGTTACCTCGTTCAATAATGAAATGTCTATAACTAAACAGCCCAGCTCAGAAAACACCCAGAAAGAAAAGGGATATGTACAGGAAAATGGAATGCTAAATCCCCAAAGAACATAAATAGTCTTAAGAAACTGTGGCAGAAAGGCTGAAGCTCAGCAGGAGTGAAGACTGGCCAGCAAGAAATATTTAAAAAAAAAACACACACATAAAAAGTTATTTGTGTACATTAGAAGCCAAAAGGAAACCCAAAGAGTGATCGATCTGTTGTGAGAAAAAGGGAAATGGATGATCACCATTATGCCACTGTGGGAAAAAGGGAACAGTAAACCAGACTTCCTTAAACCAGACAAGAAGAACATGAAAGAGAAACAAACTCATTCGAATGAATTCAGATCTCTAGGGCAGATAAATGACTTTCTAGGGTATTGAAAGAATAAATGGAGGTGATCACAGAACTTCTTGCAATAATTCCTGAAAAATCATGCAGGCTGGTTAGATCTTAAAATACAAAAATCACAGAATGACACAGAGGTTTTTGGAATGATACCAAGAGGAAATATGACAGAGGATGGCTGGAATTATGTCATGAAAAAGGCTGCAAATGAAAAATCTGCAGAAAGAGGGGGGAAAATAGGATAAAAGAAAGTTATTCTATAATGTGTACAGAGATAAAAAGACTGTGGCAAGGAGAATACATAATGATTCAAAGTAGGCAAAAAGGTGGTATAATCTTAATGGAAATTTTAAAAAAATATTTTAGGAGTCAGTGAAAAGGATTCAAAAGCGGGGGGGGGGGAATCAGTGTGATGAAAAAAAATGTGGGGAGCAAACCTTGGGATATGTAGGGCAACTTTATGCTGGGCAGACCATGTGCAGACCATATTTTTGCTCTTTGATATTTCTCTGAATTTTCAGGCAATACTACGCACAGAGAAAGCAAATCAAAAGTTTACAGTATATGCAATTGCTCATATGTGAAAAATACATACCCTAGCCTCCAATTTCTGGATCTGTTTTTTCCCTCCTTTCAGGGCTAGTTGCTCTGCCTCATCAAGACGGTGTTGCAGATCCTTCACAGTCTGGTCCAAGTTCTTCTTCATCCTTTCAAGATGGGCACTGGTGTCTTGTTCCTTCTTCAGTTCTTCTGCCATCATGGCTGCCTAATAATAAATGAAGCAAACAGATGAGAGTAAAGAATGCCTGGTGTAAATTGATTAACTTTTTTCTTTTTAGCAAAAACTCATTTTACTCACGTCAGTGATGGCTTTCTTGGCCTTTTCTTCAGCATTGCGTGCCTCCTGAACAGTTTCCTCCATTTCACTCTGGATCTGGGCAATATCTGTTTCCAGCTTCTTCTTGGTGTTGATCAGGCTGGTGTTCTGTTTAAAAAATAATGTGGTCAATCATTTTTCAAAAAAGACAGAAGCCACAAGTATGCATACAGACACACACAGAGAGAATAAACTATTGATACTGAAGAACTGAAATTCTCTACCCAATCCAGGAATGGAAGGAAAATAAACGACTGCTAGAACTGTTGGTTTGAGAATGATTGCTGCAGAATAGAGGTGACTACTAAGAGGAGTAGAGTTTAACTCTAATTTGAGAGAAAAACTATATCGTTTCCAGAGAGTAAATAAGCGAGTAAATAAGCGAGAGTAAATTTAGGAATTGTTTTCTGATATATTGGCTTTTTAAATTTTGAATTAAAACTCTTCATTTTGGATAAGTTCCTAGGTATTGAACAAACACTATCTAGCCTTTTGGGCAGTTAGGAAGCACAAAAATATTTCCACTTTTGCTATTTTCAAGAGAAAAACTTATCTACCTGGGTGTGGAGGAGCTGCACCCTTTCACTGGCATCCAGAAGCTCCTGTTCAGCCACTTTTCTGGCCCTCTCTGTCTGTTCCAGAGCTGCCCGGAGCTCCTCAATCTCAGCCTGCATGAGGTTTGCTCTGCGCTCAATCATGGCCACTTGTTCCTTCAAATCTTCCTGGCTTCTCAAAGCATCATCCAGATGTATTTGAGTATCCTAAAACAGGTTATTGCAATATTGGTCTTTGAAAATAGTTGTGATACAATAAAAATATCAACTGTGTCTTTACTATAGAAGTAAATATGTACCTTGAGCACTCCTTGTGTGTTCCTGAGATTCTTTAGTGTTTCAGCAGCTTGACGGTTGGCATGGTTGAGCTGGATCTCCATCTCATTCAGATCTCCCTCCATCTTCTTCTTAAGCCTCAGGGCATCATTCCTGCTCCTAATCTCAGCGTCCAATGTGCTCTGCATAGACTCTACCACCCTCAGGTGATTCCTCTTCAGCTGATCAATTTCTTCATCCTTCTCTGCAATTCTTCTGTCGATGTCAGCTTTCACCTGGTTGAGCTCAAGTTGGATGCGTAGGAGTTTGCCCTCTTCGTGTTCAAGAGAGGCCTTAAAAGTAAAAAGATAATAAAGCAACCATTATGGAGCTATCATCTGAAAATTTATTAAGTAAGAATATCTTACCAATGGAATCATTTAGTTCACTGCCTGGAGTACATTTTTGTTTGTTTTTTATTTATCCTATAAAATAATTATATAATTACCTCAGCTTCTTCTAGGGCACTCTGGAGATCTCCTTTCTCTTGCTCAATCTGCTTCTTCACTTTCTCCAACTCATGAATAGCTTTTCCACCCTCAGCAACTTGCTCCGTGAGGTCAGAAATCTCCTCTATTTATGTGACACAAAATACAATGAAAAAGTGAGACATCAAGGAGAAATCTTGCTGTACAAAATGTTACAAAATGTTATCCAGCTTTTAACACTAATACAAGTTCTACTGTTCATATTAATGCCTCACATTTGATGGATTGAATGTATCAGCAGCCTAAAATAACCATGAGGAAGGTATTATTATCCAGATGATGTTGAACAACGTCCCGCACCATTGCTTATCTTGGCTGGTGGTGCGGGAAGTTATCTTTCAGTAACACCTGGAGGAATATAATTTCTCCATCTTTCATCAGAGTAAATAGGACTAGATAGAAGTGAAGTAGAAACTTCCTACTATAAAACCATTATTAGGTTTGAGTGACAGCATATATGAGAATGGGCTTACGTTGCAAGTTTTTGTTTTCACGCTTCAGGGTTTCCAGGTGATCCAAGGATTCCTCATACGCATTCTTCATCTTGAAGAGCTCTGTGCTCAGAGACCGAGACTCCTTCTGTGAAGCTTCCAGTTCAGACTGTGTCTCCTCGTATTTTTGTTTCCAGTCTGCCAGAATCTAAAAAAACAAAAACAGTAAGAAATAAGTTAATTAAACTTAAAACTTGTGTGCAGTGCATTTCACTTTTAAAACAACGATAATGATAACGGCAGCTCAAATTACCTTATCAAAGTTCTTCTGCTTCTTATCCAGAGCTGCACAAGCTGCATTGGACCTTTCCACATCAATCATCAGGTCCTCCACTTCATTCAGCAACCTCTGTTTGGTCTTCTCCAGGGAAGCACATTTGGAATTCACAGCTTCTACATGTTCCTCAGCTTCCTGCAGACGCTGAGCAAGCTTCTTCCTGAAGAAACATAAACCCAATGCTCCATAGTGATAAAATATTTGATTTGGCTGAATAAACTGTCTAGTGAATGATCTCATTTCAATCATTCTGCTTCAGCTTCAGGAAAATTTAGGATAAATAGGTTTGCAAAATCTCCAGAATTAATTTAAATACAGAATCTTATCCCAAGTCATACAACAAAATATTGTTCGGTGAACAATGTTTTTATTAATGAACTATCTTTATCTTTATTGCAGCAAACACCCCTCTCTGAAAAGTCACACATCAAACTCTATTCACACTACAAATTTATTAAAAAGTTGCAATATGTTTATTGAACATACTTAGCCTCCTCCAGTTCCTCAGTCCGCTGAATGGCATCAGTCTCATATTTTGTCCTCCATGTGGCAACTTCACTGTTTGCCTTGGACAGGGCACGTTGTAGTTCAGCCTTGGCTTCCTGCTCCTCTTCATATTGCTCTCGAAGGAGGTCACAGTCATGTCGAGCAGACTGCAAGCCATGGGCCAGGGCATTCTTGGCCTGTAGAGTTAACCAAATATTAGAGATTCTGCAAATTGCCAGGTCATCAAACATAATGAACCATCTTCCAGGATAAGATTTCACAAGAAATGAGGACAGAGAGAGAGGAACATATAAAAATTCAATAAATACACAAATAAAGGCAAGTGTGGTATTTAGGAAACCTCCTGAAACACCCCAGGAAGTTCCATATGTACTTCTGATAGCATTAAAGATAATAAAAGATATGCATAATTCAACTTATGTACCTTTATCTCTTCCTCAAGTTGTCGCTTCAGTTCCTCAATTTGTTGAGTAAAAGCTTGCTTGCTTCTAGAGAGCTGGGAGATCAAAGTGTCTTTTTCTTCCACTTGTCGTGAGAGCTCACCTGAAGCAAAGAATACAGTATATGACATGTTTGGAATAAAAGTCACATTAACATTTTCTCAGCTGGGGGAGCTTCAGGATTCAGCTCAATTCATTTCAAAAATCAATTCGGAATTCCATTTTTGCAAGAGTCTTCACATTAGGAACAAAAAGAAAAAAATAATTTCCCCAAAATATATTTCATCATTTTACCTGCTTCTGTTTGTAGGCGAGCCCTTTGAGCATTGATGTCATTAATGGTACGCATATGCTCTTCGTCCTTTGTTTTAAATTCGCTTAGCTGATCTTCTAGTGTGCGGCACATCTTTTCAAGATTGGCCTAAGCAACATGGAAAAAGAAAAAAGGGCAATCTTTTAAATGATTCCACAGGACCTAGCATTCATCTTCACTTCTAGATATGACCATGTTCAATATTTAGTAAGGATACCTAAAGTGTTTAAGGAAACAGAACAGCCTCCAGAAATAAAGTGGGATAGATGGCACATCTTGCATAGCATTAAAAAATTGGGAATTATTCATTTTGCACATTTAAGATATATATATAGAGAGAGAGAGAGAGAGAGAAAGGGAAATTAATTGTAATTAATTGTAATTTACTAAATATAATATTTATCATACCAGTAGTTTGTTATAAATATTGAATGCTACAGTCTGGATTCTAATTTTTGTGAACATTCTTATTTTTCTAACTCTGAAGTATCCATGAAATATTGGCAAGGAACAAAATTTTAACTTCAGTATATAACAAACATAATTAGGTATAAAACCAGCATCTTTTCACTTACTATTTAATGTACTACAGCATACCTTAGCTTTAGAGACAGATTCCATATTGCTTGCAAGATCATCAATCTCCATCTTCAGTTCACTCTTCTCCTTCTCCAGCTTCTGCTTCACTCGCTGCAGGTTATCAATTTGTTCCCCAAGTTCAGCTGCACTATCTGCATGCTTCTTGCGGAGAGCAGCAGCTGTGGCTTCATGCTGCAAGGTGGCCTCTTCAAGGTCCCGACGCATTTTCTGAAATTCTGCCTCACGTTTCTTGTTCATCTCAATCTGAGCTACAGTTGCTCCACCAGCTTCCTCCAGACGCTCGCTGATCTCTTCAAGTTCCCTGGAGAGATCACCCCGCTGTTTCTCTGCTTTGGCGCGAGATGCCCGTTCTGCCTCAATCTCTTCTTCCAATTCTTCAATACGAGCCTAGGAAAAAAGAGGTAACCATGACTCCTGAAACCAGCTTGCAGAGACCTTAATTGTCCATTCATGAAGGAACAACGTCAAGACAGACCTGCAGCTCCTTGATCTTCTTCTGAAGCTGGGAGCCCAGGACCTGCTCATCTTCAATCCTGCTCTGGAGTTGATTGATTTCAAAGTCTTTCCTTATCACAACAAAATATAATGGGTTAGTCTCCAAATTAAATATTAAAGAATTCCAAGTAACACTAAGGTCTATCACAATATACATTATTACTTACTTCTTCAGCTTTTCATCCAGCTGCTGCCTATCATTTTCCAAATCCATTATACTTTCCTGAGCTAGTTTCAAATCTCCTTCTAGCTTCCTCTTAGCTCTTTCAAGGTCCATGCGAAGTTTCTTTTCTTGCTCCAGAGACCCTTCAAGCTGAAGACAAAGAGATCAGAGTAATTGTGTCATCACAGCAATACCTCCACCTCAATCCAATTCTTCTCTGGAGATGATAGCATGCTTACATCATCCACTTGCTGTTCCAGCTTGGTTTTTGCTTTGGTCAGAGTATTCACTTTGTCCTCCTCTGCCTGCAGATCATCCAAGGTCTGTTGATGGGCCTCTTGCAGGGCTTTCTTCTCCTTGGTCAGTTTGGCAATGGTCTCGTCCAAGACCGCCATCTCTTCAGTAAGGTTTTTCACCTTTAAAAGTTGAACAGACAGAGTTATAGTAATCTATGTATTCTGAAGTGACAATAGTGGATAGTAATTTAATTTTGGTATATTTTTGACCAGTACCTTATTTTCTGTAGCATGCTTCTCCTTTTCAACCTTGGCCAGTGTCAGCTCAAGATCATCAATGTCTTTCTTCAGTTCTGAGCATTCGTCCTCCAGTTTTCTCTTCTTGGCTGTCAATTCAGCATTCATTTCTTCTTCATCTTCAGCTCGCTCAGTGAGCTCCTTAATTTTAGCTTCCAGTTGGATTTTGGTTTTGATTAGCTGGTCACATCTCTCCTCAGCATCTGCCAAGCCATCAGCTTCCTATGAAAGGAAAGTATAGATCTTTTTTTTTTAAAAAAAAAAATGTTTCCTAAAATATTCACACATATACAGTACAAAATTTCCTACTCTAATGGAGAAAGTTACATTTCACTAAAAAATATACATTGGATCAGCTCTCAGCATTTTATGGAACAATACACAAAAAATATATATATTTCCTGTATATTGGGTAAAAATCAATGTAATGCAGAACTTTTTTATTTATTTGATTTTTGATGCCACCTAACTCCAACTGACTTCTTAATAAATTAATAATATTAGTTCATACAATATAAAAACAAGTATAGTTTACCTTTATGGTCTTTATTTACCTTTACATATTTTCAATGATGAAACAACGTTATGATGTAATAAGGTATTTAATAGATGTAGCAATATGGGTGATTTTCTAAATAATCCCAAAGATTTCCAAAGATTTCCCTTGCAATCTATAAATGATTGCTTACTAAGCTATGCTGGACTAGCCAATAAAAGAACAATATTTAATGATATTTAATATCATTTTATATGCTTACAGCTTGGACTTGGAGTTGCAAGTCATTCTTCTCTTGTATCAGAGACACCATTTTTTCTTCAAGTTCCTTCACTTTGGCCTCTGCCTTGGCAAGATTCTCCTTTGCTTTCTCAAACTCTTCCTTCATGTTGGCCATTTCTTTTTCTGCTTCAGCACTCTTTAGCAAAGGTTTGATCTTGAAATACAGCTTCATCCATGGCCAATGTTTGACATTCATGAATGAACGAACACTGTACTGAATAGTGTAGATAGCCTCTCTATCAACAAAGTTAAAAAGTGTGCCTTAAATCACATGTAATAAACACAGATCCACCAATCAAAGGCTTCTGACCGAATTGATTTAAATAATTATGGGATTCTCACCTCCTTGCTAACATTTTCTGATATTCTGTTCTTGCTAAGAAACCACGACACATAGCTTGGGTGCGTGTTATCAGATGGGCCAACTTATCATCTCTCATTTCTTCTAGGAGACCCAAAAGACCAGCCTTAAAGAACACCTGGGGGAAAAAAGCATTACAGAATGTCATATGTAAACACTACAAAATACAAAACAATATTTAGGACAAAGACTTATATATACCTTGGTGTGCCCAAATTTATACTGGGTGTGGTCCACATCAATGGATCCCAGAAGTTTCTCAGAAGCTTTCTTGCTATCAATGAACTGGCCCTCTGGAATGGCACTTGCATTCAGAACTTTGTATCTAGTAGGGAAAAAAAACACCACCTATAAATCTTCCTGTGTAGTGCCTAATAGTTTTTTACAATTACTTGTCCTCAGTAAAAAAATGGAACATAAATATGAAATGCTATAAAATCTCTCAATATGGGATAAGGTGGTTTGGGTGGGTCTCCTTTTAGTGAAAGATTAATAGAAGTAAATTGTATTGTTTTGTAGTCTCTTCTGTGTGAATACTCTGCTGGAGATTATTATTATTATTTTGGTGGGGTGAGTATATTTAGTTTCTGAAGCTGCCCAGATCATTTGGGAATTGAGCAGCCTAGAAATGTGAGAAGTAAATAAATATGGCTTGTCAAGTTTTTGATAACCAATTATACCTAAAAGCAACAGGCTCAACAGAAGTTTCTTTAACTAGATTTATTATAACAAGAAAGAGACTAGATTACAAAAGCCTCAACAGTTGAAGGTTTGCCATATATATATATATTGGTCTGGGTGTCCAGAATGGAAAACTCTCTTAAACTCTAAACCATACCATTACACTGAAAAAACAAGAGAGTTCAATTCTAAGGTCATTTATATTTAATGCATTGCTCTAATGTTACAAGCCAAGGATATGTAAGAAGGTTTCCAAGGTGTCATGGGACAGGCTGGATCTTTCCTTCAAAGGTAGAAAGAGATAAATTTGTCATTGGAGGAAAATACCATGCTTGCACATCCTTTACCAGCACTCTTGCTCTCTAATGGAATGATAAACAGAACAGATTGGCCAAATGACGTAATATTTTGATTCAGCAGGACCTAAAGCCCACTCATCTCTAAACCAAGACAACGTTTACAATTTCCTTCCTGTTATTTTCAGTGGAAGAAAAGCTGTCAAAAGGAATAAAAGCCTGAAAAGGGAGAAGTGAGCAAAACTCCCCTTCATCATCCTCCTAACGTTCTATTCTGCCTATCAATATGATTGCTGTTTTCAATTAATCTAATCCTTTAATATCTTGAATCTCTTTGAATGTTAATTTAGGATAGAAGTACTCTATCACAGAGAGTTACTATGGCAGATAATTGGCATTGATAGGTAGGTAGGTAGGTAGGTAGGTAGGTAGGTAGGTAGGTAGATGAGAGAGGGGAGAGGAAGAGGAAGAAAGAGGGAGGGAGGGAGGGAGGGAGGGAGGGAAGGAGGGAGAGGGTGGAGAGAGAACACACACATAGAGAGAGATGTAAGGAACCCTATAAGAAGATCAAGCTGACCTCTGTTTGAAATCAGCATAAACGATCCTACTGGGAAATCCCTTTCTGCAAATGCGGATGCCTTCCAGGACACCATTGCATCTCAGCTGATGCAGCACAAGCTCATGATCCATAGCACCTTTCAAAAAGATGATTAAAAAAAGAATCAGGACCAAACCACATACAAAGACAAGCATTGTAAAATACCTATCACACCCTCAACAATGCCTTACCAGGTGTTTTTGTTTCATTGGGAATAATGCAACGCACAAAGTGTGGGTGAGTACTCCTCAGATTGCTCATCAGTTTGTTTAAGTTCTCCTATAGATCCAGAAAAGAAACATTTCTCTATAAAATTCCAAACAAATCAATGTATTCCTGTAAACGAAAATCATGTATCCAAACAAGCAGGGGTATAAAGCTCTATTGAATGCAAATGAATTCTAGTCATTGGGTGGATTAAAAATAAGATAAACAATAACATTCAAACTCCACAAAGACCTAACATATGCAGCTAAAGCATTATTTGATGTTTGGGCTGCTTCATTTGTGCTTGCAGTGAACCAAAATACAGTTCCAGTATAATAATAGCTTATTTTCTTGATATATAAATGTCTATAATGGGACTTGGCTACATATGTCTAACTGGATATTGATGGCCTAAGTGCATATGGCTTCTTTGGGTTTGAACTTTAAAGAAGTACTAGGATTAACACCTCAGAGATGTACAGTTTAAGCAGAATGGCATGCAAAGCATCACTATACTTCTGTGATTTTTAGTTTCAGCACTGATTTGGTTCTACCAGCCAACAATATTCCATACACTTTCTTTATATCTGAATTATCCATGCAAAGACTCATTTTAAGTTGGGAATTCAACAATTTCAGTCCAATTCAATATCTTTCTTAAATACCCAAATGAGTTGTTGCATTATTACTGCATAATATTTTTTTTCCTTCCTCACAAAGGAATCCAAGTATAGCATTATACCATACCCTGAAAAGTGCAGATACAGTCTGGAAAGAAGAACCCTTCTTCTTGGCAGCCTTCTTGCCCTCTAAAACCGAAATGAATAGAAAAAATAAATAAACCTTACATTTCTTGAACATTTTTTTTCTCATTCAATAAAAAAAAATCCTTTCATTATAGTTCTCACCTTCTGCAGGGCGATCAGCAAACAGCAAAGCTAAAGTCTTCATTGAGGATTTCTGGTAGAGCCCCACTACGGTTTCATTCAAGGGATCCTTGTTCTTCTCCAACCAGCCAGTGATATTATAATCCACGGTGCCAGCATAGTGTACCAAGGCAAAGTGGGCCTCAGCCTTGCCTTTGGCAGGCTTGGGTTTCTGGAAGTTGCCTGATTTGCCAAGATGCTGGTCATAAAGTTTGTTCTTGAAGGACGTGTCTGTTGCCTTGGGGAACATGCACTCTTCTTCCAGGATGGAGAAAATGCCCATGGGCTAGAAAGAACAATGACATGGTTGCTTAGGCAGCATCTTGAGAAAATATTGAATAACATACTTCTTCAGCAAGTATATACACACAAGTCAGGGGTGAAATCCAGCAGGTTCTGGAGAACTGGTAGCGGAAATTTTGAGTAGTTCAGAGAACTGGCAAATGCCACCTCTGGCTGGCCCCAGAGGGGGTGGGAAGAGAGATTTTGCAATATCCTTCCCCCAGGAGTGGGGAGGAAATGGGGATTTTGCAGTATCCTTCCCCTGGAGTGGGGTGGGAATGGAGATTTTGTAGCATCCTTCCCGGGCCATGCCCTCCAAGCCATGCCCACCAAGCCACACCATGCCCACCAAGCCACGCCCACAGAACCAGTAGTAAAAAAAAATGTGGATTTCACCACTGACACAAGTAAAATAAACAGAGCAGAGATGTTGAAAAGAAATGAAATGTAAACATGGAGACACACTCTCTCATTGAAAAGTAGACCCCATCTTCTAAATTATACTTCAATTAGCAACTATGAATATCTAACATGATTTCATACTTATTATATGATATATTCTATATATAATTTTATTTTTATGTCAAGAATTGGTTTGAGCATATTATTATAAATTTATTAGGCTCCTGCTATAATTCTGTTTATTCTTTCCTAGGTTGTTCTTCTAATAAAGTAATTAGAAAAGCTGAGAGCTAAACTTTCTAGAAAAATAATAATAAAGTAAGGGGAGCAGTCAAAGGCTGTAATAGGCAGGACAAAACAAGATGATGGTACATGTAGTTTTAGTTGGGATTTTCATCAATTATTTTTGAGAGAAACCTAAAGCATTTCCTATCCCATCTGAAGTATGCATCAGTTATGTCTACTATAAAATGGACCTTCTCAATGAGCTCAATGCAGGCAGCCAGGTCCATGCCAAAGTCAATGAACTCCCATTCAATTCCTTCTTTCTTGTACTCTTCTTGCTCCAGGACAAACATGTGATGGTTGAAAAACTGTTGCAGTTTCTCATTGGTGAAGTTGATGCAGAGCTGCTCCAAGCTGTTATACTATAAGAAGAGAGAGGTTTGTTAAGATGAATTAAGATGAAATAAATTTGATTGAGTAAGCAAAACACTGTTCCTCCTATCTGTTAATATGTACATGTTTCTCCCTGTTTCCTTACATCAAAGATCTCAAAGCCAGCAATGTCCAGCACACCAATGAAATATTGTCTGGCTTGTTTGGTATCCAATTGTTGGTTGATGCGAATGACCATCCACAAGAACATCTTCTCATAAACAGCCTTACCCAGAGCACCAACGTTATTGTAGACCTAGAATAAGAAGACAATGGCAAAAATCACTATGTATAAGGGATTTTTTAAATTAATAATTATTCCAATCTTATATACAGTGTATAGGTCTGGGTATATATACACACACACACTCACATATACATATACATACACACACACATACATATACATGTGTGTGTGAGAGAAAGAAAAATGAAGAACAACTAAAGATATAGTAGTGCTAATAAAGTTTGAAAAAATATATGAAAATATATATGAAATGAATAAGCTTTCTGGAAACTAAAAATATATCCATAAAATATTTATATAGATCTAGCTCCGTGATGGTGAATCTATGGCAGAGCCTTCTCTGCAGGCACGTCAGCGGTCGCCCCAGCCCAGCTCCACCACACATGCGCACTACCTCCCGCCGGCCAGCTGGTCTTTGGGTCTCTGCTGCGCATACGCGAAGGGCATAGCACATGCAGGGGACATGCCCGTGCATACATGGGGGGCATGGTGCATGCATGGGGGGCGCTCGCATTGCATTTTAGGGGGCCTGGAAGACTTCCTGCACCAACCTGGAAGCCAAAACAGGGCGAGGGGGGCAGGGCGCATGCACGGGGGGCATATGCAGGGGTCGCTCACAGTGCATTTTGGGGGTGCGTGCACACTTTGGGCACTTGGCACCAAAAGGGTTAGCCATCACTGATCTAGCTCAATCATTTAACATATTTTTAAATCTATCCATATAGACCATCTACTGCTCCATCTTCCCAGTTTTGGTACAATTGGTTATTTCAGTTCAGTTATAATTCTGTAAGAAACTTAGATTCTTGATGTTCTATTATTCAGGTGCCTTAGCATATTGAATACAGATAAGAAAGAAAAATGGATTTTATCATTATTATTTACAGTTTTGAATATTGACCTTATAAGTATTATAATTATAAATCCATTCGTCTTGGTGCATGCCAGGGTCTGTGAGAATTGGTTTAATGTAAGATTACCTGCTGGACAGTTTGGCCTTTGGTGACATATTCATTGCCGACCTTGACCCGGGGAAAGCACAGAGCTTTCAACAGATCTGCTGAGTTGAGATTCATGAGGTAAGCAGCCTTGTCAGCAACTAAAAATAGACAAGAAAGAGTTTAGGGTTAGAGTCTTTTTTTATTATAAATCTCACTATATTCATGCAGTATGTAATAGTTAAGTAGTGAACATTAAAATCAGACTGGAAAATGTACAAAATGAACTTTTGGTTAGTGTTGGCTGAGTTCTACTTGCCCAATGCTGGGAATGTTCATTCTCTAAAATTATAGCTTCACCTACCAAAAAGTGATTTTTCAAAAAGAAGAAAAGTGTTTCAAGAGTATTTACTATAATATCGGTAAAAATAATGAAAACTTCCTCCTTTTTAAATACTAATAAATAGATGATAGCATAATATTTTTATGGTCTACCATCTATTCCAAATGATCAATATGAGTATCCTTCTAAAAAACACTAGGGAAGCATGGGATGTGTTTCTACAAAATAATGTCCTAGTTAATGTCCTCAATTATTTTAAATGATTTTGCCATATTTTTTTCAAATACCTTCCGTGCCGTCTGGCTCAGCCTGCTCCTCTCGCTGCTTCTGCTTGAACTTCATGTTCCCGTAGTGCATGACGGCTCCTGTCAGCTTGTAAATGGCTGTCTTTTCCTCAGCAGTGAAGCCCAGGATGTCAATGGCTTCCTATTAATTCAAGCAATAGAAAGGATTCTGTCTAACCCAGCACTGAGCCAAGTTGAGGGTTCAAACTCACTTGAAATCATTTTGGCAATTACAGTAGCACTGTCTTTGCCAGTGTTCCTCTTGGAACATTATGCCACTCATCATATGCCCAAATACCACACACACTCAAACATTTAAACCAAATATTATTGCTTCTCTAATCAAATTACAATTTTATGTTCCCGATTCTGCAAATTACTTACATCAGTTGCCATTAACTCTTCTTGATCATTAATGCTGGCAACACTGATCTCACCCTGGCTGACAAAATGGTAGTCATATGGGTTGGTAGTAATCAGAAGCATCTCTGCATAAAAAGAAGCACAAACATGATTTCATTTTCAAGCATCAGCACATTTTTAATGTTTAATAGTGGAGATAGTCCTCCAAATGGATGATTCTCCTTACCGATCAGTTCTGGCCTCTTGTTGGACATGATCTGATAAAAGATATGGTAGCTCCTTTCAGCCTTGAGCTGGAAGGTAACTCTGGACTTCTCCAGCAGATCTGGCAAAGCAATTAAGTTGAATTAGGGAAGGAAGGAAGGAAGGAAGGAAGGAAGAAAGAAAGAAAGAAAGAAAGAAAGAAAGAAAGAAAGAAAGAAAGAAAGAAAGAAAGAAAGAAAGAAAGAAAGGGTCAAATAAACTCACAAAGAAATATCCCTTACATGTCTCAATGTCTGCAGAAGCCAGCTTGCCAGTGGCACCAAAATGGATTCTGATGAATTTGCCCTGTGGAGAAAATAGTATTTAATTACAGTACATTTTCAATGCATTTATTTAACTGTACAATAGGATGGTACAAAGATTTCTCCTTTTAATAGCAGAAATTTCGTTTCTGGCTACAGAATGTATGGAATTAAAAAAAAAAATTAGTGCTTTTTAAACCTAATTTGTCTCAGAGATTTTAAGAAAAAAAAGTGAAAGAGTTTACCATTATAAAAATACAAAAATTTTAATATGCCATATGTGAAACTTTATCTTAATAATATTCATGATACAATAATTATTAAACTTTAGTAAAAGTGTAAAATGTGAATGAATTAAAGGAGAAAAACAGTTGAGGTTTGTCTATGGAGATTCACAGTCATCCAGGTCATGGTTGTCCCATAGGAGTTGTTCAAAAGGAAGGAAAGGAAGGAAGGAAGGGAGGGAGGGAGGGAGGGAGGGAGGGAGGAAGGAAGGAAGGAAGGAAGGAAGGAAGGAAGAAAGAAAGAAAGAAAGAAAGAAAGAAAGAAAGAAAGAAAGAAAGAAAGAAAGTAAGTAAGTGGGGGAGGGAAGGAAGGAGGGAGGGAAGGAAGGCCAGTTGCCTTTTGAATAACAACTTTGGGACAACAGTTGAGGTTTATTATATAGGAGAAAGATAAAGTGGGTTGATATGATAGTAATGGTTGATAAAGAATATTTTTATTCTTTATCTAATAAGATGAGATGAATATGAACGTGAAACATTGCAAATGATAATTGCAAATAATTTCTTTCCTTTTCAAAGACCAGTGTCACAGTGCACCACGTTAAACTGGAAAGGAGGGCTAAGCTTCATTAAACTGATCCTGGATTTCAGTGTTCCAAATGGGATTTGACCTACGGATAGACCTCTTCATCAGCATCTATGGGGATGGGGAAGTGGGGGCAGGCAAGGAAGGACAGAATGATTGAAGTAGCATTGTCATGACAGAGGCCTTCCTCTTTTGTAAGTGCACTGTGATGTCATAGACACATCCCAAAGGGGTGGAGCTTGCAGTTCAATAACATAACACTGCTTATGTTATTTTGATGCTGCTGCGTAGGTTTGATGTGAGGCATTCTTAGCCTGAAAAACAAGTATAATAACATTGTAGCTCGTCTAGAAAGCTCCATTCCCAAACACAGCCTATTGTTTCTAATTCATTGTCATCTTTAGTGGGATGCTAAGAAGATTGGCACAAAAAGAATTATACTTCCGCACAAGGTTTGAAACTGTAACTTACAAAGCGAGATGAATTGTCATTCCTCACAGTCTTGGCATTTCCGAAAGCTTCCAACAAGGGGTTGGCACTGATGATTTGATCTTCAAGGGTGCCCTGTAAAAGTAGCATTACTAAGTCAACTTTTAAATATAATGAAATTGTCAGAAAGGAATGTATAATCTTCTCCAACAGTCGTACTTCACCTTTAACTTGCCAGTTTGCTCTGGTTCTTCCTTCTTCTTGTCAGTAGCTGCAGCAATTGTTGCGAAGTACTGAATGACACGTTTCGTGTTCACAGTCTTTCCAGCACCAGATTCTCCACTGTTAAAACAGAGTAAAAGGCCATGCTGTTAGCCAATATATTGCTCTGTGAAACTTCTGCTGACCATAAATATGATTAATGGAAGTGTACTCACGTGATCAGAATTGACTGATTCTCGCGATCTAGAAAGCAAAGAAACAAAGAAGTAATCCAAGCCGAAATAAATGTTTGGGTTAATTTTGGGTTATACTTATTAATAGTTAGAATCTGACTTGTTCATTTCTGTTATCAATCTTCAGCACGAAATCAGCTGATTTGTTGACAGTCATGTAAAGCTTCTAATATACATGCCATAACTTTTTAATTCATAGTCTTTCATGCAGTTCCTATCAGTGGTGGGTTGCCACCGGTTCGGACTGGTTCACAAGAACTGGCAGTAAAACCAGCGGGAGGCCCCGCCCACTGCCCCGGATGTCATCATCGGCGATCTGCGCATGCGATCTCGTTGGGAACCGGTAGTAAAAGTAAGTAGAACCCACCCCTGGTTCCTATGTGACTTACACTGCTTCCTTTCAAAGAAGACTCTAATACTGTATATATATAGTACAATACTGAATTATAAACATATTAATTTTATCTATTTATTTATTATTTCAATCTCAAACTCATGACTGGGTGATGAATAGTGTTAAAAGAAAATATAAAAGCCTAAAAAACAACCCCCCCCACCCCCCCATGCACATAAAAACAGTGACTGGGGTAAAAACAGATCTATCAGTCATGAGTCAACATGAGCAATGCATGGACTCAGCCCCATTACTAAATCCACAGATCTGGTAATAATAAGAGGAATGTCCTAAATACTGTCACAAAGCTAACTGAATTTGGTTCCACTCAAACTGAATAACCACAAACAGTTGGCCATTGTTATACTTTCTGGAAAGGTTAAAGACTCAGTGTGGAAATTCCAGAAGCCATGTCCTTCCTTTTTTCCCAACTTTGTTTTTTTTTTTTTCCAGAAATACTCATCTACTTATCTGCTCACCAGTTAACATGGCCTGATACGCATTGTCAGAGATGGAGAAGATGTGAGGAGGGGCCTCTTGTCGTTTTTTTCCCCTATATGCATTAACCACCTCTGGGTTGTACACTGGCAACCACTTGTAGGGATTGACTGTGACACAGAAGAGACCTGAATAGGTCTGGAAAGAAAAGACAAGTTAGTAATTGTTTGCTTGTGGACATAAAATATTTGGTTCTGAATTCAATGATAATGTTCAGATTCTTCTTACATAAATCATCCAGGCTGCATAACGCTCTTTGAGGTTATACAGGACAGCAGGTTCATTGAGGTGGGTCATCATGGCCATGTCCTCAATTTTGTCAAATTTGGGCGGGTTCATTGGAAAGATTTGATCATCTTTAACAGTCACAGTCTTCAAGGGAACAAAAGATACTTCAGTTAAAAGCATGCAGAGGATGAGGATAACAAAGCCTTACTTTTACGTTTTTTTACTTACTTCTCCACCTGCACCTTCTTTCTTAACTGTGACTTTCCCCGCTTCCTTGCTCTGGACAGTACCTTTTACAAAGGAAACTTTAGGATCCACCACAAAGACGGATGACTTGGCATCAAAGGGCTTGTTTTGAGCTTCAATTCTCTCTTTCTCTGACTTGCGGAGAAAGGAGGCAGCAACGCCAAAAACTGCCATCTCACTGTCAGATGACATGGCTGCAGCTTAACAGGGAGCACTGGGGAAGAAAGAAACAACTCATATAGAGATCACAACTTTAATGTGCCATTTCATGCAATCTCCTACTTTGCTATCTCAGGTTATCTCAAACTACTTTGAAGAAAAGTCCTTTTCATCCATGAAAAGAATGTATATCTACTAATAAGTGGATAAGCAATTATTGCAAGAATTAGGGAATCAGGGCATGTTATGAAAAAATTTGTGCGCTATTCAATTTCACTGAAAAATATGCACGTCTGACTGGCACACTTAACAACAGTTTATTAAATTAATCTATTTAATTGTAAATTTCCATGACATGCTGAACCTTCTAGTAACTAAACAGCCTGGATTTAAACAGCCTGGCTAAAATGTAGTTGTCCAGTTGGTGGTTCAGTATATTGGATGAACACAACCACTGAGTGTAATGACGAACAGGGTTATATGTTTCAGAATACAATACTTGTAAAGCCAATTTGCACAAATTCTGCTTCCCCTTATTTAAATAGTGATGGTCTGCAGTTTTCTCTATCATCATGAAAGCATGTGGAGAAGTTGATGAAACTGTCTGCTGGTAGGAAAAAGTAACAGATCTGAACACACTTCAAGAAAGCAAATGATAATGAAAAGGGCAAAGGCAAAGACAGTAATGGATGCTCTAGAGGTTGACTAATGACCCAGGGGAACCCTTCTGCCACTTTCTAGTTCTCCCCAAGCACATCTCTAATGACACCTACAACACATTCCCCTGACTTCATTCCTAAGGCTGTAATTTGACAGTATTGGAATAAGGATTCAAATACTACTTTTATACAGAACTGTCTCACTCAATATAAGTATCATGGAGACAAGGGGAGAAATTCTTGTTGTGTAGGCATGATTGTGCTGGGCTTAAGTGCCAGTGAAGACAGATCTTTAATGATCAGGTTCTTCCCAGCTGACACTTTTGTAATCACTATATCTCACTCTTTTAAGGGAAACTGCATTATCGTATGGGTATTCTGCATCTAATACAGATCATAATCATAAGTTTATTTGTCAAGCATATATAAGATAACAGGTAAAAGTATAAACATAATTTGAATACATGAAAAAAGTAAGTAAAAAAGGAATATTAGGACAGGGACGGTAGGCAGGCTGGTGCACTTATGCACGCCCCTTACAGACCTCTTAGGAATGGGGTGAGGTCAACAGTAGACAGTTTAAGGTTAAAGTTTTAGGGGTTTGGGGAAGAAACTACAGAGTCAGGTAGTGCATTCCAGGCATTGACCACTCTGTTACTGAAGTCATATTTTCTGCAATTGAGTTTAGAACGGTTTACTTTGAGTTTGTATCTATTATTTGCTCGTGTATTGTTGTGGTTGAAGCTGAAGTAGTCATTGACAGGTAGGACATTGTGGCAGATAATTTTATGTAAGATGCTTAGGTCAGACTGAAGTCGGCATAGTTCTAAGTTGTCTAAGCCCAAAATTTGGAGTCTGGTGGCATAAGGTATTTTATTGCGGTTAGAGGAATGGAGGACTCTTCTCGTAAAATATCTCTGGACTCTCTCAATTGTATTTATGTCTGATATGCAGTGTGGGTTCCAGACAGATGAGCTGTATTCAAGAATTGGTCTAGCTAATGTTTTGTATGCTCTAGTTAGTAGTACAACATTACCAGAGAAGAAGCTACGCAAGATTTGGTTTTTAAAAAATCCTCCTTTTTCTTTAACTAAAGATGTGAAGAGAAAACACTTTCCTTGTGAATGATAACTTTGAGAGGTTTTTGTCAAGAGCCAGTCTCTAAAAACAGCTAAACCATAAACCATGGAAACCATGGAAATTTGATTTTAGTAGGCTTACATCACAGAATAAGTTAAAAATGTATCCTACAGACCAATGCAGTCTGTGTCTCCTTTGGCCTCTAAATTTCAATTCTATTTCTCTATCTTTTCTTCATTCTAGTTGTTGTTGCAGAAATCCTAATCCCTATTGTTTGATAGGAAGAATTGAAGCTTAGTCTGTATTGGCAATGCAGAAGACCACTGTTATTTTGAGTTTAGTGACATATTTTTATTTCTCCTTCATATTAAGAAAAGTCTAGAAGTTTAGAGCTCATTCTTAGCTCTCCTGCATTGTTTTTTGCTCTTGCTTGCTGAATAAAGGAGAAGGGATGAGGATCTTTACATAGCTGCAAACCTGTGAAATTTTAGACTTTCTGTTCCCATCCCAGAATCATGTGGTGCCTAGTCAAGATCAGGTCTTACAATCTTATCCCTAGCAGGGTTATTAAATCATGGTGAAAGGTTTTGATAAACATCACGGGGTTGTTGTTGTTTGTTGAAAGTTTCTGCACAGAACCTAGCATTGGGCACCTTGGAAATGAGATACCCGGGGGGTGGAGGTGGGGGAGGAATCACTGCCATTGTCATTAAGGAGCTTCTTATAAGAGATTTGGATATCATCTTGCTTGGTATGTTTGCTTTTTATGTCATGCTTTAAATCTGTTTACTACAGTTAAATAATAAAGCTTAACATCTCTTTATTCCCTGGTATGCTCATCTGTGGATCCAAAAGGACCAGTTCCCTGGATACCCGATCATAGCCTTGACTCTTGGCAAAACATAGGCCTACAATTTGGATCAAGCTCTCCATTTATGTGAAACAAAGCAGCTTTAAAGCCAGGCCTACAACCTCAGCTGGAAAACAAAATAGTCTATTTTGAAGTAAAGAAACAAAACACAACAAAATTTCAGCTATGTTTTTTAAGACTCAGTCAAAAGTGAAAGGTCATTGTAAATCCATCTGACAACTAGCCAAATATGAACATTCAAAGTGATTCCATTATTGGGGTTGTTGTTTTTTTAATTGCCACTCTTCGTCTTTTGTGAGAATAAGCTGGTTTGCAGACTCCTGCCACATGCTTAGAGGAGCAGGCAATGCTCATAAAGCTTCTCTAACAGATGTCAAGACCAAACACCAGTAAAAGATCAGACCTTCCAATCTGAGCAAAATCTCTACAAAAGGCGTCTTGCATGGTATTAGTAAGGAAGACTCAAAACTGTCTGTTCAGCTCAGCACCCAGAAAACAAACTCATTGACTCCCTCAAGAGCGAGTATAAATACCCTCTTACCTCCTGATGAAGAAAATAGTTGGAATTCAGGCTCAGCACTGGCCAATGCTGCAAAATAAAAAGGTCAATCTCTTCTTAGTGATGGTTTGGGTTTTGTTTATTAAGCCGTTCAGCTACAAGCCACTGATTACAGCTGAATGAATAGATTTGAGATCCCTCTGATCCAAGTAAATCCTCTCACTTTAACAACCAGGCATAAGAATCAACCAGTATGAATGGAATGTATGGGTGCTTCACCCATTCAGACCTTGCCACCGCTGCCCAGCACTTACCTACTACTATCTTAAGAAGGACAAGGCAGGTTTGGTCCTTGAAACACTTTTATACTGTTGGATGAACATAAGAACTATCCCATGCCCTCCCCATCGCCATTCTTCACTGGAGGCATTTTTGGCTAACCTTTTCCAGTAAAGCATTGTTTGGCAAACTTGACTAAAGACATAATTGTCATTTGACATAGCTGGATATAATTAGAAATATTTGATGTCTCTCCTACTATGTGAGTAAATGCCCTATAAATAATGTCACCAAGATCTAAAGGAGAGAATCTGGACTATTCAAGAAAGCCAGAGCATGGAATAAGGGCCTCTTAAGTTCCATTACTTATTGGCATCCTAAACACAGATTTTGGTCCAATATACCGGTTCAGGTCATCCGGCAACAAAAATGGGGATCTTCATTGGGAAGTACTTATGAAAAAATATTTGCAAAATGAATCTCAAATCTCAAAAATGATTTTTAAAAAATGATAAATATTCTATTATTGTTGTAAGTATTTCTGGAATTGCTCTTCTAATACCTTGGCAAAGCAAGTGTTCCAACTTAAGACTGATTTATATGACCATTTGATGCAGAAGCAATTTATAGTCATCTTATATGTATGCGTAATGCAGCAGAAGATAACATTTTGCGCACATGAAGCTTATCACTATGTTAAAAACACGCACTTAAAATATATTGTTCTGCATCTCTTTTAATATATTAAAATATAAACATTTGGGGTTCTTCTGTGATGTTAAATTTACTATTTTACTAAAGGTTATAAGAAACACATATTTTAGAAGTGTGTACATACCTAGTAAGATATTGTATGTAACAGAAGAAGTTGGATGATAAACCACAACTATGCATCTACCATTAAGAAATATTTATGTGGGACTGTGTTGGCACCCACTTATAGTGGAGTCCTTGGTGTTCCCTGAGCTTGATTGTTTTCTTGCAGACATTTCATTACCTAACTAGATAACAGCTAGGTAACACATAGTGCTAGAAAGGAATAGGGTTTTCTCTCTCTTTATATACAATGTCTTGTCCTATGGTGGTGAGAGAGTCCTTTTCTTCTTGGTAGCTCCTTGATTATTGTTTACTGTTTGTTTGTCTGAGTTGATAGTTCCTTCATTGTTTACTGCTTGATTGTTAGACTGGTATTAATCCTGGTATTAATCTCTCCTTATATTGGTATTGATTGCTGATGAGGAGATCCTTTTGTTTGCTTTTTAGTTTTTTGATTGTCTCTAACACTGCCATATATCAAAAAATATTTCAGAAACAAACAACAGCTTATTACAACCACATGACATCGTAGCACACAAACCATTTAAAGTTCTGCAATAATGATAGTAAACCAAAAGCTCCAGTAGCCCCAGAACAAAAAATGGAAGTTATTTATAATATACAGTGTAAGAATTGTAACAGCCACTATTAAACACAGACAGGAGGAAGCGTAACAGAATATTTCCATGAACTCAAACTATCAGTCCAAAAAAAACATGGTGAAAGCTCCTTAATTTCACAACACATAGACAGATTTAAGCATAGTTTCAACTGGGAAATTGTGAGTATCTTAGACCAAGCTAAATTGAAAAATGCTAGAGAATTCCTGGAAGCCTGACACTCCAACAAATCAGCCATCAACAGGCACATAGAGATAAACAACATTTACATACGATTCAAAAGAGACAATATATACACTGCTCTGTATGTGATTATGACTTTTATATATACCCGCTGAACAAATATATGTAGATGAAAATGGTAGAATTCTGATGGTGGAAATAATAGACAATAATACGAAAGTCCTCTTAGTAGCTATATACGCTCCAAATAACAATCAAAGTGACTTTTATAGAAAATTGCATATGAAAATAATTGAATTGGAATATGACAATATCTGTATGATGGGAGATTTTAATGGTATAGTGCATGAAAATTTGGACTATAAAACACATAAAGCAATAAGACATAGTAGGAAAACATTACCAAAATCCTTTTTTAAGATGACTGATGAAATAAACCTAAAAGATGTATGGAGAGACAGAAATGGGAAAAACAGACAATATACCTTTTACTCGGACAGACATTTATTGTGGTCTAGATTAGATATGATATGGACAACAATGGAATTGACTTTGAATATAGAACAAGCAGAAATAGAAACAAACATATGGGCAGACCACAATCCTGTGACACTCACTTGGAAAGGATGAAAAAGAAGACTTAGATGGACTTTAAGTAATACAATAGACAATAGACAATAGTACAATAATACAATGTACAATAAACTTTGTACAAAAAATGGAGAGAGAGTTGGCTTTTTTTTTCAAGGAGAATAAGAAAGAAGATACATCGACACAGAAATTGACTTAACTTTATAAATGAAAAAGTTATCTGGTGTTCTGTGTTATTTAATGATCACATCTATTTTTGTCTTGCAAGTAATACCCAAGTAATATATTTGTAACAGGGAGGGATAGTGCATAACAGTAACACCCGAGCACCAGACTCAAGCCCAGTTTGGTATGTTCTAAAAGATACAAATGCGGATAATTGAACTGAATACAGTCCATGGTAAAGGGGTCAGAATTTCCAAGTGTTTTTCATTTTTGGTGAGTATTATTTTTGTCTTTTAACCAGGTAAAATCTGTTTTATACATACCTGTTTTTAGATGTCTCTCCAACTACAAGGGAATAAAGAAGAATCGAATCATGAAAATAAAACAATGAAAATTCAGATCAGATTAAAAAACAAGACATTTACTACATGCATACATAAATGCATTGTACTTCTATCCAGCTGTTATATTCTTATTAAAATCCCTGTGATATTATCTGAGAGGCTGGCTGCATAATTTGGATTCACTTAATACCTTGGCATCAGTTCAGAGAGTAGCTAGAGATGGATGCCATTTTCAGGAGTCTTTGAGAAGTTCTAAGAATCACTGAGGAAATCTTAACAGCTCAAAAAATTAAAACCCATTTGAATTATTGAGGCCAACATTTTAGGAGCAATCAGAAAACCAGGAGCCACCAAACAAGGTGTCACCATCCAGCAGCAAACCAAAGGAAGATGTCTCTGCTGGGATTTCTCAGATGAGACTTTTATTATATAATCATTCCACTTTATTCATCAAATTACAAGGGTCCAAACAGTCTTCCATTTGTAATTTCTTGTCAGTTCCTCCTTTTTTCTACCTCCCAAAAATGGATTAAATGTGGACTACTAGACTAAGTATTGTTTTCAAAACATATGTCAAAGTAAAACGTTCTCAGACCATTGGCCATCCTTTTTCTTCTTTTTGAAAAGACATGTTACTCTCAAAAACAGGGAAGTATTTTTAAAAAATCATTATACCATCTACTTGGTATCCCCATGCCTATTAAGATAAATCATTTGTTGTAACACAAGGCTAGCCTGGAGGCTGTGCAGAGGTGAGATGAACTGGGAAGATATGTCCATAAGAAGATGTGGAAGGCAAAATGAGAAATTCAAGAGAACAAGTTAATTAATTGAACCATTTTGATATGATGTTTGAATCAGATATGACAAATACAGCTAATACAAGTAATTGTTTTTCATTTCTAGTCCTTTCCAGGCATTTTTTGGCCATCACAAGATGAAGAAGAGCAAGATGTCAAGTTATGAAGGTCAACAGCTAAAAGCGTATCACTTTCTAATGACTGATAAAAGGGAAGTGCTTTGTGTTAGAAACAAAGTAGTATATGATTTGAAAATGCTTCCCAGGCATTTCAGACTTCTGCTGAATCCAACACTTTCCTGCTCTTTGGTGAATGAATCCAACTTTTTCAGACTTCTGTTACAACTTAGGAAAAAAAAAAGATTGTAATGTTTTAAGACTCATCTTAATTTGAATGAGTGGATTATTTAAAGCAGCAGCATTTATAAGCTGATATAGAAACTAGAAAAAAGGCCATATTCTTTTAATGAATAGAAGATTCGTGCTTGGAACATGTGCAAAATACATCTTCCAATCATTTTCAAAACATGTGAAATGATTGTATAGTGATATGATTACATTGGCTTCTCTCATTCCCATTTTTTTTGGCAGACTTCCCAAGAGGAAAATATTTAAGGTTTAAGGAAGTGACACATAAATAGTTCTCTAATTTCCAGAAGCTCTATACTGATGGAATTTAACTTAATTCCCTTTGGAAAATTTATATCAGTTTTACAACCTGTAAGGAAGTGTAACCATTGGAGTATCTACCAATAGGTTGGTTGGACACCAACTTTGTAATCTGTAACCACCAATACTACTTTTTTCAAATTTTCAATTTTTTCAAATTAAATTTTAAACAAACTTTTACAGTACCTTGGTACTCAACTGCTTTGAAACTTTCCAAGTTAATTGGTTCTAGGAGGCATGATTAGTACAAAAAATGACAATTTTCCCATAAGGAGTAGTGTACTGAATCACAAGGTAGCTGATACCAAATTCTAGCTTATGCTTATGTTGAGTACCAAACAATGAGTACCAGAACAAAATTTTGCATCAAAATGCATTGAGTACCAAATTCCAGAACAGGTTAGAATTTTGAGCTCTATTTAGCACCTCTAGAAGAATACTTTCTTTTCAGAAATGAATTGCAAATTGTCTACAGTATATAAGGATGCTGGCACTGTAAGAAACCATGGACCAAGACATTCTGTTGAAGTTTTCCCCCTTCCAAATATCTCTTTCCTATAGGCATACCCAGTTCTGGGTACAAAAATCCAGAAAGCGATTAGGAAGGATTAGCAAAGTGTTACTATAGCAAAGCTTACTATACCTCCTTGTTGACATCTAATGATTGTCCATGTTTTACCCTTTAGAAATGGTAGCTCTGCTTTTTCATGGCATTCATAATTTTATGTGGAAATACAAATATACTTACAGATATAAAAAGGACCATT